TAAGCACACAAGATGTCTCTTTCATACAAATAAAATAAAAAGTCCTACATACGTACGACATACGCGAAGGAGCGAAGATGTTTGTCTGATATATTCTTCACGACGCGAATTCTCATTTTGTTACTGTATATATTGCGCTGTCATTTTGTATTGAACCAAGACCCATATCTAACAAAGACAAAGATCCCCCGTATAGCCTTAACAGCTGTCAGCGAGCACCTATGCAGGCCGACACGGCACACGAGGGGGTGGGTGGCCAGCACTACGCCCGGCCGCCTTTGTCTCCCCAGAGACGATGTTTCCACACCACACCAGGTACTCATTTGAGGCTGAGTCGACCTAGGCGATGCCCAGGATCGATTCAGTGAATCATCAATGGTGTTGACCGTGAGCGGGAATCGAACCCGGGTCACCAGGTTCGTCGCGCAGCGCGCTAACCACTACGCTACCGCTCCCCACATCTAACACACACACAGAGGTGTCCTTGCCTATAAACATCTGTGCAAGTTCATCATTGTTTCAGCCAAGCCTTACTCTTGCTGAATGTCGAACCGGTCCACAGTTTTGCTTTGTAATGAACCAATGCTGCCGAAATTACACACTCTGGGTTGTGTAAAGAATACTTTTATTTTTGCTTTACGTGGAGGAACATAGATATACAGTACAATATATATTTGAAGGAGATGCATAGTCAGCTAGGCAACGTTATTACTTCCATACACTCTGGGTAAATGTCAAGACAATATGCCATGCATGCCAGATTAGAACATCACTCTGTACACATGCAACAGCCCATTCTGTCAATACACTCGCCTCTCCCCCCACACACACGCCGACCGATCTCCCACCCGTTGCACGCAAGCTCCGTGTCAACCAGCCGGGTGGAACGAACGGATCTGTTGATGCAGCCACACTCGCCGTCGGCTCTGTTGCCCGCAACTGTTGTGCATTTCCCGGGGGGGGGGGGGGGGCTGTAGCGTCGCCCCGTGGTCCGCACGCGCTGATCCAGACTCAAGACAAAAAGGGCCCTGCTGAGCTTGCGAGATCTGATGCGGCACCGAGGGGTGGAGGGCTGGCGGGGGGAGGAGGTGATGGTGTGGTGGGGGGGTAACGAGGGGGGGGGGGTAATGGGGGGGTAACAAGGGGGGGTAACGGGGGGGGGGTAACGGGCGCGTTGCCGAACGATTTTGCGCGTCGCCAATATCGAGGGAATTCCCCTGTACATGAAAATCAGCCACGTGTTTAGTACGTGTTAACTACTGGGGGGGGGGGGGGGGACACACACTATATATATGTCTCTATATACATCGCGTGGGTTACATCGATTCAACGCACGACACGACACGCACATGCTTGAACGCGTCACCTACACGAGGAGCTAACACACTGGGAATCACCGCAGAACCAAACGCCTAGTCTATAATACCCTACCGAACGGCTTCACCTGTGATACAGCCAAAGCCTATCGGAACCACACAACTCCACTGTTGCGTCTAGCGGTGGCTGCGGTGTCGGCGCTGACGGAACGTTCTGTGTGTGGGTTTCTCTCTCGCCGTGGGTGTGGGAGGCTGATGCGGGGCTTGGGTCGTGGTGTCTAGCTGGCACAGTATAGCGGGGTGGTGCAGATGGTTTAATGCGTCGTGGGAGGCTTTCGCGACCAATATAATCCATAATAGAGGGGGTTTTTTTGGGGTTAGATGGCGTAAATATACAGGGTGTTTTCAAAAAGATGGACTCAGTTTCAAAGCGGTAGATTTCACGTTGGCAACATGTTACAATTACACAAAAAGTTACAAGCGGTTTAATGAGTTATCAAGTTTACTTTTTTTTTGGCCCCGCCCTTTCAAATTATAAAAAGTTTCATTCATGGGCAGTTCGTGGTTGCAGAGATATAGCGATTTCAAATCGGGCCCATCCTTTTGAAACACCCTGTATACATGTGTCGGGTGGTGGCGGGTTTTAACGACACATTTAAATATTTATGCGATCTAACCCCAAAAAAAAACTCTTATGGGTGCAGCTGATGGTGTGCATCTTCCGGTCATCTCACTCAGCCAGCCCATTGCACCACCTTGGTCTGTCCCGAGACCTCCTGCCAACAGCGAGCCCTTCGACACTTCACGTGGGCCTCAAAAAGTGCACCTAGCCTGGCACACGGGCCGTGGTGACGTCACCGTCCGCACGGGGCATTGGTGTCTAGGGAGGAGGGGGGGGGGCGCCTGTAGCTCCCCGCAACTGTTGTTCAATAGAGGAAGGCGTCGGTGGATCACAGCGTTCTTCACTCATTCTCAGAGGGTCTCGTCTGATAAGACGTCGTGGATGTGTGCGTGAGGGTCCTGCCACACGCCCCGAACCACTGCGGGGTTTGACAGCAGCACCATGATGATGATGAGGGGGGTGGCTTCACTCTTTGTGTACTGTCGTCATCATCGTCGTCGTCATCATCATCATCATCACCTGGCAGTTGCGATTGAGTGTGCAGGCGGTGCAACTGCACCGAGGCCCCAGCGGGTTGGGAGGGTTCCAGGCAATTGGTCTAAGAAGGTGGTGGGTGGGGAGGTGAGCGGGGAGGAGAGTAGGGGGAGGGGTGGTGGCATTCCATTCCTTTAACCGAGGTTCATGCCAGCCACGCCACTACACTCCGCACATGCTGTCCCACCACCTAATCCCCCCTAAGTTAACATTTCAAATAACAGAAGCTGCTTGCTCCGTCCGGCAACCCCCCGATAGCAAACTCTGCACCGCTCGCCTGCTCGCGAGGTGCAGGAGACGGGGTTGGGGGCAGGGGGAGGGGGGGGGGGGATCCTTCTGTTAGGCGTGACCCCAAAAGAAGGGGGACTCGCTGAACGGGAGATCTGCCAAGATGTAGTGAAATATAAGACGTTCTAATCACGTGCGTCGTGAAGGAAGGATGCGTTAAACAAACATTGTGCGCGCGTCCTCCGTGCATTTTCGACAAAAGGATTTTTAAAAACCACCCCCATCAACAGTTCCTGTAGAACTGCATCGCGGGTTCCCCCTCGTCTCAGAGGTCACCGCCAATAAACATTCTGAGCGAAGGTGAGCGACTGAGCGCAGCTGAAATCAGTGAGACGCGGCATCACGGAGACAACCAGTGACTGCTTTTCGTAAACCCCCCTACCACCCTCTTTTTAGAACTCATCAGCACGGTATCGTCACCACTGCTGGAAAGTCTGCCTCTGACGTGACCAATCTTCGATACGCGGAGTTGCCGACGACATCAATCCACACATTGGGGCCCCGTTCTCAGGCCCGCAAGTCGCGAGGCACGCGTTTGGAAACGTGTGCCCCACGCGGCCTGTAACATCGCCACTGGGTGAGACAAAGGCGGCCGGGGGATTGGGGGTGGGGGGGGGGGGTGAGGTGGGGTGCTGGCCACCCCATCTGCTCCTCGTGTGCCATCTTTCCGGCCTCCCGTAGTACAGGGCAGCTGCTACTCACCAAGAGCACTTGCCCCCCCTAAGATCTGTTAAGGCTATAGGGGGGATCTTTGTCTGTGTCTGTGTGTGTAGCGGTGGTGTAGCGGTTAGCGCTACGCTAGCGCTGCGAACCCGGCGAGCCGAGTTCGATTCTCGCTCACGGCCAACACCGGTGAGGATTAGCTGAACCGGTGCTGACCCTTACCCCTAGGTCGACTCAGCCTCAAACGTGTACCCGGTGAGGTGTGTAAAGTTAAAAAAAAAAACATCGCCACTGGCTACCCACCTCCTGTGCTGTGCCGGCTTTTCATAGCTGCTACTCGCCAACAGCACTTGCCCCCACCCCCCAACAGTCTGTTAAGGCTATACGGGGGATCTTTGTCTTTGTTTTGTCAGTGACCAATGACCTAGCAAGTGGCTCCTGCCCACGGTGTTCCCCATCAGCTGAGCTCGCACGCACAGGACGCGTGCGAGACGATCGTGGTCTATATTCATCCCGCGGGACACGGGAGTGAGAGAGAGATAAAATTGTGGGGATGCTGCTGCTGATGATGATAATTATACATTGGCCGATCTCTCACCCACTTGCCGGGAACACGCTTACAGGCAGGGGCGAGGGTGGTGGTGGTGGTGAAGGGGGAATCTCACCCCTGAACCCGTGAGCTCCAGACGTCGAGAGAGTTGCTTTTGGGGGAAGCGCGGATCGTAGCCTGCCGGTGATGATTTGGGGGAAGCGCGGACCGTAGCCTGCGGGTGATGATTGCACGGTGACCGCGTGTCTGGTTGTGTCCGTCGGTCCGAGAGAGCGGTGGTGCAGCGGTTAGCGCTACGAACCCGGCGACCCGGGTTCGATTCCCGCTCACGGCCAACGCCGGTGACGATTATTTGAACCGGTCCTGGGCCTCCCCTAGGTCGACTCAGCCTCAAATTAGTACCTGGTGCGGTGTGTAAACATCGCCACTAGGGAGACAAAGGCGGTCGGGCGTGGTGCTGGCTACCCACCCCTTCGTGTGCCGTTCCGGCCTTCCATAGGTGCTCGATAACAGCACTTGCCCCTACAGTCTGATACAGGCTATATGGGGGATCTTTGTCTTTGTCTTTTTTGTGTGCGTGTAGTGGTGTGTAGTGGTGAGTGCAAGTGTAGTGGTGAGTGTGTGTGTAGTGGTGTATGTAGTGGTAAGTGTGTAGGGGAGTGTGTGTAGTGATGAGTGTGTGTGTGTAGTGGTGAGTGTGTGTATAGTGGTGAGTGTGTAGTAGTGAGTGAGTGTGTGTAGTGGTGAGTGAGTGTGTGTAGTGGTGAGTGAGTGTGTGTAGTGGTGTGTAGTGGTGAGTGAGTGTAGTGGTGTGTGTAGTGTGTGTAGTGGTAAGTGTGTACTAGTGAGTGTGTATCCCACTAGTGCAGTTGCTTAGGGGGGGGGGGGGGCCGGGGGGGGGGTGTGAGGAGCACTATCACCGATAAGACATCAGCAGTGTGTGAGTGTGGCGCCACCCATCATTTTGAAACCATTGGGGGTTTGACAGCAGCACGGCAACGCTGATGATGATGGTGATGATGATGGTGATGATGATGGTGGTGATGATGATGGTGGTGATGATGATGGTGGTGATGATGATGGTGATGATGATGGTGATGATGGTGGTGGTGATGATGATGATGGTGGAGGTTGTCAGCGTTGTGTTTTGTATCGGGGCGCCGCACGGCCAAGGGGCCGCGCTAAAGGCCCCCAGCGACCACACGTGGCTCTTGGGGGCCTTGCAATGAAGAACGCCGCCCTATACAATCCATCCATCCTCTCCGCCCTTCCCTCGCTGCATCCGTCCGTCCGTCCGTCAGTCCGTCCGTCTGTCACGCGCGCCACCCTCTCAGAAGTTGAACGCGCGCCCGCACGGCTGGTGCAGCGCCGACAGCGCCACTCTCTGCCGAGCCCGACTTCCCCTCCTCCTCTGCTGCTGCTGATGGTGCTGATGGTGGTGCTGCTGGTGGTGCTGATGGTGGTGCTGCTGCTGGTGGTGCTGCTGGTAGCGCCTAGGTAGCAGCTGAGGCGGTGGCCCCAACGTGAGCACGTGGCCTCGCTGCTGCTGCTGCTGCCAGCGCCGTCGCAGATGCTGGCCAGCCTCCTCGTCGTCATTGTTGTTGTTGTTGTCGGAGGAGGAGGAGGCGGTGGGAAAGATGGGGACGATTGTGGGGGTCGGGTGGGCTCTGGATCGGCTGGGGGTGGGGGGAGTTGAGAGTTAAGCGGTGATAATTCGGGCGAGTGACGATTTAATCTGAATATTTATTGAGAGGAATCCGATGAGCTGTGAAGCTCTTCCCCCCCCCCCTCCCCCGCCACAGATGCCCAGCAGGGGCGCGCCAGTAAGTTGCGATAACAAACAATAGATAGGAGGGCAAATGAGAGAAAAGATAAGCGAGTTACAATTGATAGGTGCAATTTTGATTTAAAGCTTTCGTGACTGCAGCGATTCATATTCTTGTTATTTCGATAAAGTCATCACGTAGAAGGGAAACAATAAATGAATAAAACAATAAAATTCTCACGACGTTTCGACTGCAACACAGGCAATCATTGATGACGATTGCTTGTGTTGCAGTCGAAACGTCGCGAGAATTTTATTGTTTTAATTTTTTTTATTTCTTATTTTATTGTTTCCCTTCTACGTGGTGACTTTACCGAAAGAACCGAGAATATTATGGGTGCATATCAAGTATCTTAGCATGAAGACCATCAGCGGCCTCGCTAATGCAGACTCGATGCTCACAACAGGCACCTGTGTTGCGAGAGGCTGCATCAGCCACGCGTCTAACTCGCTTCCGTCGAATGGTGTGCGACCAAGTCTCCGATCCACCAATGGGACAGGTGAGTTAACAACACAAACACAAACGAACGGGTCCGCCGATTGTAAACTCCCACCTCCCTCCACCCCGGTGGCACGCCGCTTCTTAGGGGCCGTCCATAAATGACGTCACGCGATATGGGACGATATTTGACCCCCCCCCCCTCGTCACACGGCGTCACAAAAAGTCAGACCCCCCCCCTCAAATATGACGTCACAAAGCTCTGCCCCCCCCCCAAAAAAATATATAAAACGTGCTTCAAATCGCTTTAAACTTTTGTCATTGTAGTGCGTATTTAATGTGGCGCTGCACTCTGATGTTGTAGGAGAAAACATTTATTAAAAAAATATATTTAATTAAGTAGAACGTGTTCTACTTAAGCACGTACACCAAGCTCTTAAGGCTAATGGTTATTCCGACTACACAATCCGCAAAGCTATCACTCCAACAATGAAGAAGGACCCTCTTGAGGAGCCTTTCAAAACCATCACTTTACCCTACATTGCGGGGATCACAAAAGAGATCTCCAAAATCTTGAACAAACACAAGATCCAGGTCTGATTCAATACATTACATAAAATCCGTGATCTGGTTCCGTCTGTAAAAGATGTGATTTCGGACATACAGTACCCTGGCGTCTACAAACTAAGTTGCCTCCGTGGTAGTAGTTACATTGGAGAAACCAAACGACATGTCTCGGACCGCATTCCTGAACACAAAGCAGACCTGAAACACAGTAGGACCAACACCTCGGCCGTGGCAGATCACTGTTATAATTCAGTAGGCTCACATGATATTGACTTCTCCAAGACAGAGGTTCTTTGCAAGCCATCTGGTTACCATGAGAGATTCGTTCATGAGGCTATCCACATATACAAATACAGAGACAATTTCAACCGAGAAGATGGATTCTGGCTTAGCAATCATTGGAAGGAATTGATAAACCATTTCGGGTCTTAATTGATTGATCACGCTTAAGGTGGCTTTCAGACCACATCCATTATTTTTCGTATCCCCCCTCCTCTTTTCCGAACATAGATGGACTCGTCCATCTGAACAAACTGTCAAATCGCTCTCCGTGGTTTTCACGCCTGATGATGATTGCTTGTGTTGCAGTCGAAACGTCGTGAGAATTTTATTGTTTTATATTTTTATTATTTTATTGTTTCCCTTCTACGTGACTATACCGAAAGAACCAAGAATATGAATATTAAACGTGTTGTCTATATTTATTTAAAGTTGCACCTTTTTGATGTGACGACACATTTCTCACCCCCCCCTCTCCCCTCGTCACACATCGTCACAAATGTCTGACCACCCCCCCCCCCCCCAGGTGCGTGACGTCATTTATGGACGGCCCCTTACGCCAACAATAGGCCGGGCCTAATCTGGGCCACGAGGGCCGAAAGATGAACCCCGGACCGTTCTTAAAGCCCTCGGAGCCATCCCCCCACACCCCCCCCCCCTCCCTCCACCCTGCACTGGCGTGTGCCCTGCTCGCTTCTCGCTGCCCTTCGCCACAAAGAACACGACCCTGGGACAGAATTGGACGACGCTTGACCTCTCGCCACGGAACGGCGTGTGCCTTGTATAATGTATATACACACAGGGTAGCACGCGTTAGTGTGTGGGGAGCGGTGGCGCAGCGGTGGGCGCGCTGCGCGACAAACCCGGCGACGCGAGTTCGATTCTCGCTCACGACCAACACCGGTGACGGTTACCTGAACCGGTCGACTCAGCCTCAAATCAGTGGTAGCTGGTGCGCTGTGTGAAACATCTCCACTGTGGGAGACAAAGACGGCCGGGCGGGGTGCTGGCCACCCACAAACCCCCCTTCGAGTTGTCGTGCCGGCTTTCATCGGTGCTCGCTAACCGCACTTGCCCCCGACATTATGTTAAGGCTACAAGGGGGACCTTTGTCTTTGCGTTGGTTTTTTTTTCATTCTGCGTCTCAACTTGGCACGTGGCCGCCCCATGTGGCTGTGCGGCGGAGCGGGCGGCTCGCAACGGTCGAGAAGGTTGCGAGAGGTTGACCCGGACCCATCATCCCTCCGTGGTCGATACAAAAAAACAACAACAACTCTAGGGGCAGAACCACTTTGCGGGGGGAGTCAACAGCGGTCGTTCTATTGAGAGACTCGCCCGCCGCCATAGGAATGTGGAGAGGGCATAGAAGTGAGCAGCATTGGTTCGAGCCTCAACGTTCATCTGTGCGCGCGCACGTGCGGACTTATCTTCCACGTGCGCGCGCGCGTGGTGAAGCAATGCGCACGTGGCGTGGTCACGTGACAACTTTATTTATTCGGTTGCGTCGGGTGGAGGAGGGTGTACGAGACAGCAGCAGGACATTGTGCTCAAGCGATCTGTCCGTAACACCCCCCCCAACCACCACCACCACCACCAAAGAAAACAATGAATTTGAAAATGTTTGCTGCTCACAGATTGTAATGATACTACAATATTAACAAGGCATTTGCGTAACTAGCGTGGGGGCAAGGGTGGGGGGCCTTGCCCCCCACTCCCCCCTGGTGGCCAAAGCTACGAGTAGGGCCCCCCCCCTTTAACAACAACCATAGAGATATCTTTTCAACAACAGTGTCAAAGAACCCAAAACTTTATAATAATTATGATTACATTTATATTGCGCTTTTCATCAATGATCTCGACGCACTGTACAGGACGCAGCGGCAGCAGGCGCTCAGCACGAAAAATAATTATATTAGAAATATATTTTTCGAGTAATTTACGAAATTCACTAACAGTTTAATAAGCGGAGGCGTATAAATAGGTTTTAAGGCGCATTTTTAAAACAAACAAAAAATGTCCACAGACTCAAGAGATCCCTGGATAGGTCGCGGAAGAGCCGTTCCATAGCCTGGGGGCTACACGGGGGAAGGGACTTAGCGCACCACCACCCCTCCCCCCGTACAGCGTTAAATGTTCGAGACCGTGAGCGTAGCGACGTGGATGTAACTAGGGCAAAGATGAGGCCGCCGTTTATAAATAGCCTCTAGGTGCGAGCGTGCAAGATAACTCAGTTATTGAGGCGGGGGGGGGGCCCTACCTGACCGATGGCCGCACCCCCTAAGCTGATAACGTCGTTACTACAAAGACAAAGAGCCCCCGTATAGCCTGCGACAAGACCGCGGGGTGCAAGTGCTGTTAGCGAGGAGCAGCACCTATGAAGGGGGTCCCTGGCACACGGCACACGAGGGGGTGGGTGCCAGCAACCACGCCCGACCGCCTTTGTCATCCCCCAGTGGCGATGTTTACACATTGCTCCACGACCCAGGGGAGGCCCAGGACCGGTTCAACCAAGGGTCATCTGGATAGCCGTCAGCCCGTACGGTTTGACCCGTATTCTTGTCAAGGGAATGCGAGTTGTCAGCTCCATACGGTGCACAGCCGTCCCAACACGTTAATGTCTCATATTCATGGTTCTTTCGGTAAAGCCACGTTGAAGGGAAACAATAAAATAATAAAAAATATAAATATATAAAACAATAAAATTCTCACGACGTTTCGACTGTAACACAAACAGTCATCATCATCATATATTTTATAATTTTATTGTTTCCCTTCAACGTGACTTTACCGAAAGAACCAAGAATATGAATCACTGCAGTCACGAAAGCTTTAAATCAAAACGTAAATGTTTGTATCTGTTTGTTCGTGTTTCTCTCTTGCGATGGGACTTTGTAGGATGAACGTTGAGATGTATAAGGGGTGCCGGATGATCAATAAGGTCTCTGTATTGGTGTGTTATAAGGTAGGGCACTGATAAGGGGTTGACAGGTATGTAGTAGTGTAGTATATAGTAGTGTAGTATATAGAGTAGTGTGTAGTAGTGCAGTGTATAGTGAAGTATAGAATAGTGTAGTGTATAGTAGTGTATAGTGTAGTGTAGTAGTGTAGTGAATAGTAGTGTATAGTAGTGTAGTGTACACTAGTGTATAGTATTGTAGTGTGTAGTATATAGTAGTATAGTGTAGTGTATAGTAGTGCAGTGTATAGTGTAGTGTAGAGTGTAGTGTATAGTAGTGCAGTGTATAGTGTAGTTAGTAGTGCAGTGTATAGTGTAGTGTATAGTAGTGCAGTGTATAGTGTAGTGTATAGTGTAGTGTATAGTAGTAGTGTAGTGTATAGTGTAGTGTATAGTGTAGTGTATATTGTAGTGTGTAGTGTATAGTGTAGTGTAAAGTGTAGTGTAGAGTGTAGTGTATAGTAGTAGTGTAGTGTATAGTGTAGTGTATAGTGTAGTGTAGAGTGTAGTGTATAGTAGTAGTGTAGTGTATAGTGTAGTGTATAGTGTAGTGTATAGTGTAGTGTATAGTGTAGTGTAGAGTGTAGTGTATAGTGTAGTGTATAGTAGTGTAGTGTGTAGTGTATAGTGAATAGTGTATAGTGTAGTGTGTAGTGTATAGTGTAGTGTATAGTGTAGTGTGTAGTGTATAGTGTAGTGTATAGTGTAGTGTGTAGTGTATAGTGTAGTGTGTAGTGTATAGTGTAGTGTATAGCGTAGTGTATAGTAGTGTATAGTGTAATGTATAGTGTAGTGTATAGTAGTGTAGTGTATAGTAGTGTATAGTATAGTGTAGTGTATAGTAGTGTATAGTATAGTGTAGTGTGTAGTGTATAGTGTAGTGTATAATGTATAGTGTAGTGTATAGTAGTGTATAGTGTAGTGTAGAGTGTAGTGTATAGTAGTAGTATAGTGTAGTGTATAGTGTAGTGTATAGTGTAGTGTATAGTGTAGTGTGTAGTGTATAGTGTAGTGTAGAGTGTAGTGTATAGTGTAGTGTATAGTGTAGTGTATAGTAGTGTATAGTGTGTAGTGTATAGTGTAGTGTGTAGTGTATAGTGTAGTGTGTAGTGTATAGTGTAGTGTATAGTGTAGTGTATAGTGTAGTGTATAGTGTAGTGTGTAGTGTATAGTGTAGTGTATAGTGTAGTGTATAGTGTAGTGTATAGTGTAGTGTATAGCATAGTGTATAGTAGTGTATAGTGTAATGTATAGTGTAGTTGTGTATAGTGTAGTGTATGGTAGTGTAGTGTATAGTAGTGTATAGTAGTGTAGTGTATAGTAGTGTATAGTGTAGTTTATAGTAGTGTATAGTAGTGTAGAGTGTAGTGTAGTGTATAGTGTAGTGTATAGTGTAGTGTATAGTGTAGTGTGTAGTGTATAGTGTAGTGTATAGTGTAGTGTATAGTGTAGTGTATAGTGTAGTGTATAGTAGTGTATAGTGTAGTGTATAGTAGTGTATAGTTTATAGTGTAGTTTATAGTAGTGTAGTGTATAGTAGTGTAGTGTATAGTGTAGTGTATAGTAGTGTATAGTTTATAGTGTAGTTTATAGTAGTGTAGTGTATAGTGTAGCGTAGCAGCCGTCACTTTGTGACTTCCTTCACCTGATGAGCAGCTCACAGTCGGGCGTCACGAGCCTGAGGCCCGCGTCGCTGCACCACGACGTTCCCAGCCTCTCCAGGGGCCTCTCCTCCTGCCTGGTCGTCTGGGGGTCGCAAGCCACCAACTCGGTCGACTCCACACCTGCGGGGGGATCACACGGAGTTAGCGAGCACCTATTAAGGCGCCTCCCCTCCCTCGCCTCCCCCGCCCCATTGCGCTAACTTGTGTGTGGGGGGTGGGGCAGCGCAAGACCGTGGCTCATGATGGTGAAGATGACTGCGGTTGGGGAAGGATTTGCATCTAGCAGTGGATAGACCACGACTCGCCATGGTCACGTGACGGTGACGACGATGGGGGAAAGGGGACGTCCATAAATGACGTCACGCGATTTTTGACCCCTCCTCCCCCCCCTCTTCGTCACACGACGTCACAAAAAGTCAGACCCCACCCCTCAAATATGACGTCACAAAGCTCTGCCACCCCCCACCCCCCCCGCAAAACCATATTTCCATTTAGAAAATAAAACACGCTTCAAATCGCGTTAAACTGTTGTCATTGTAGTGCGTATTTAATGTGGCGCTGCACTCTGATGTTGTAGGAGTGTTGTTATAACACAATTAGTGTTGTTATAACAATTCCGTATTTGTTTAAATTTGCGCATTTTGATGTGACGTCACATTTCTCAACCCCCCCCTCCCCCTCGTCACACAAAGTCACAAATGTCTGACACCCCCCCCCCCCCCGCCTAGGTGCGTGACGTCATTTATGGACGGCCCCAAAGGGCTTTCACCCAGCAGTGGATAGACCACGTCTCACGAGGCACCTTCACCGCCACCACCATCACCGTGGTGATGGCGTGGTGGTTGTTGCGGCGATGGTTGTTGTTGTTGTTGGCGTGCGGGCGTGGAGCAAATTCGCACCTCTCACGAGCTCCAGCACCACCCAGCCGTCCACCTCCTCCTCCAGAGTTCGAACCGGGGTCGGGTCTCGCGAAGAGGCCACGGCAGCCGCGGACGAAGTTCCGAACAGCAGGCTGGACAGCGTGTGGAACATAGCTGCTTGTCTACGTGTCCCCTGTGCTGCTGCTGGTGGTGGTGCTGGTGGTGCTGGTGGTGCTGGTGGTGGTGCTGGTGGTGCTGGTGGTGCTGGTGATAGTGTCTACGTGTCCCCTGTGCTGGTGGTGGTGCTGGTGGTGGTGCTGGTGGTGGTGATGGTGCTGGTGGTGATGGTGCTGGTGGTGATGGTGCTGGTGGTGATGGTGCTGGTGTCTACGTGCAAAGGCGCGGGGTTTTACTCCGTTGCGTGTCCGCTACGAACTCGTCTCGCCTTGACGCTCAAGGTGCACCGAGCCTGGCACTGGCGGTGGCGTCACCGTCACTGAGTAACGGATGTCTGCTGCTGCTGCTGTTTGCTTGTCTTACATCTAAATCTGCGGATTGTAAGACGTTGCTGAAAGGGAGACTCGCTTGGCTAAGTTCGTGCTGGGCGCACTCACGTCCCCTCCCCCCCCACCGGACGCACAACCAACTCAGCTAACGGATGAATAAGACGCAGACCCACCCCCCCTAGCCTTTGATATTCCGACACGCACGCACGCACACACGCGCTTAAAATAATAACCAATCAATTTTACTAATCCGTAATCGTGGCTTAGGAACGCAGACTCAACAAATTGCAGTGGCCGAGTTGAACGTTTGGACGCCGTGAAATTCTCGAGTCGGATTATGAACGACTCACAGATATCACAAACACGGCCTGCTGTGGTGCTGACAGACTGAAATGTGTGGTTTACGTACCCTCGGAGCAACGCAGCAGTAAGATTGTTGTTGTTGTTGTACTCTGTGTGACAATCCAGCAGTAAGATTGCTGTTGCTGTACTGTGTGTTAATGTGACAATGCAGCGAGTTGCAGGCGGTGTGTGCGTGCGTGTCGTGTCGTCGATGCCTTTCTTTGGAGAGCTGGAGACAGAGAAAGACAAAGATCCCCCGCGTAGCCTTAAACAGACTGTTGGGGCAAGTGCCGTTAGCGAGTAGCAGCGCACGAGGGGGTGGGTGGGTGGCCAGCACCACGCCCGCCCGCCTTTGAATTCCCCAAGTAGCGATGTTTGCACACCGCCACCAGGTATAACATTTACGGCTGAGTCGACCTAGGGGAGGCCCATGACCGGTTCAGATAATCGTCACCGGTGTAGGTGGCCGTGAGCGGGAGTCGAACTTGGACCGGGGGCGGCCACCTGAGTTCGTTTCTGAGACACGGCTAATATCAGTGGCGATTGACCGCAGAACCTGCCCTGCCCACCCCCAACTCCACCCCTCCCCTCCTTCACCAACCCCGAGCTGACCAGCGCGGTGAAGTATGGTTACTACAACAAAAACCTCCAATCACCGACATGACGTGGGGAGACCTTCATCCATTGGTTTATTTAAGTAGATTGCAAACGTAAGCATCGACATCACTCACGTTGTTCTAGCCCTTCTAGAGCATCGCTAGACTATACACCACTCACGCACATTCTGTTATAACCCTTCTAGATCATCACTAGACTATACACCACTCACTCACATTCTGTTATAACCCTACTAGAGCATCGCTAGACTATACACCACTCACGCACATTCTGTTATAACCCTTCTAGAGCATCACTAGACTATACACCACTCACTCACATTCTGTTCTAGCCCTTCTAGAGCATCACTAGACTATACACCACTCACTCACATTCTGTTATAACCATTCTAGAGCATCACTAGACTATACACCACTCACTCACATTCTGTCCAACTCGTCTAGAGCATCACTAGACTATACACCACTCACTCACATTCTGTTATAACCCTTCTAGAGCATCACTAGACTATACACCACTCACTCACATTCTGTTGTAGCCCTTCTAGAGCATCACTAGACTATACACCACTCACCCACATTCTGTTATAAGCCTTCTAGAGCATCACTAGACTATACACCACTCACTCACATTCTGATATAACCCTTCTAGAGCATCACTAGACTATACACCACTCACTCACATTCTGTTCTAGCTCGTCTAGAGCATCACTAGACTATACACCACTCACTCACATTCTCTTCTAGCCCTTCTAGAGCATCACTAGACTATACACCACTCACTCACATTCTGTTCTAGCTCATCTAGAGCATCACTAGACTATACACCACTCACTCACATTCTGTTATAACCCTTCTAGAGCATCACTAGACTATACACCACTCACTCACATTCTGTTATAACCCTTCTAGAGCATCACTAGACTATACACCACTCACATTCTGTTGTAGCCCTTCTAGAGCATCACTAGACTATACACCACTCACTCACATTCTGTTCTAGCTCTTCTAGATCATCACTAGACTATACACCACTCACTCACATTCTGTTATAACCCTTCTAGAGCATAACTAGACTATACACCACTCACTCACATTCTGTTATAACCCTTCTAGAGCATCACTAGACTATACACCACTCACTCACATTCTGTTGTAGTCCTTCTAGAGCATCACTAGACTATACACCACTCACATTCTGTTCTAGCCCTTCTAGAGCATCACTAGACTATACACCACTCACTCACATTCTGTTATAACCCTTCTAGAGCATCACTAGACTATACACCATTCACTCACATTCTGTTATAACCCTTCTAGAGCATCACGAGACTATACACCACTCACTCACATTCTGTTATAACCCTTCTAGAGCATCACTAGACTATACACCATTCACTCACATTCTGTTATAACCCTTCTAGAGCATCACGAGACTATACACCACTCACTCACATTATGTTCTAGCTCGCCTAGAACATCACTAGACTATACACCACTCACTCACATTATGTTCTAGCTCGTCTAGAACATCACTAGACTATACACCACTCACTCACACACACGCAGTGACACACACATACACACACACATACGCACACACATACACATACCGACACACAACTGCCAATTGCCACTGAGCGGCGGGGATGTCACCACGGCGCTTGTGCCAGGCTATGTGCACGTTGAGACCACAGATCCACACACACAGACAGAGAGACACACACAGATACACACAAACAGAGACACACACAGATACACACACAGACAGAGACACACATACACGCGTACACTCACCCAAAAGCCAGCTTCTCCCTTCAGCCGTCGTGAATTCAACACAAATCAATGCAGTCTATGTGACAGTACTTTTTACGCTCTCATTCAGCCTATCGCCCTTGACAGCGACGTTAAAAGCATTAATCGTAATTACAATGCCGCATATATATTTTGATTGACAGGCAACTGGACTGGTTGTATCCGTGGTGTGTGTGCCGAGTTAGGTAGCCCTATATATATGTGTGTGGGTGTTTCTGTGTGTCTGTGTGGGCGCGTGTGTGTGTGTCAGTGCTGAATATCATTTTCCATCCACCCACAGCCCCTCCCCTCCGCCACGAGGCCCCCCACAACCATCCCCCCCGGTCTTGTTTGGGTGAACAGCTGATTTTCCTGTGACGTCACCCACGTTGAAATTCTGTCCAATGGTCACAGAGGCGAGGCAGCGGGGGGTGGGGGGCAAAATAAATAAATAAAAACCATTCCCGGGGGAGGGGGGGGGGGGAAGTAAATAAATAAATAATTCCCTTTCCCTGACGAAGGCATTGCTATCAACACTGGGAAATGCAATCGACGTGGGGCTTATCCAAATTACAAATTTCAACAACAGCAACAAAACCCTCTCACGCTATATACGGGGATAAGTTAGTTCCATGTTGCTGCCGCTGCTGCTGCTGCTACTGCAGAGTTGGCAGTGGGGCTAACAGAAGCACAGATCGCAAAGACATTGGACGCGTCACACGTGTGTGTGTGTGTGCCCTTTTTCTTTTATAGGAAAAAAATAGATATACTGGCGACGTTTCGGGCAAACGGCCCCTTTCGTGTGCTGTGAAGAAAGTGCCATCACCCGAAACGTCGCCTATTTGATCTAGTTCGACCCGTTTAAGGTCCCAGTCCACAACTGGCAAAATGTTATTGGACGTGTGGCAAATCCGAATTATAATTTACAACAGCAAAGAAAAACCCTCTCACGCTATATACGGGGATGTTTGGCGATACCTGCTGTTGCTGCTGCAGCTGAGTTGGTAGTGGGGGTGTGGGGGGTGGTGGTTGGACAAGCACAGATACACAGAGACATTGGACGCGTCCGCTGTCAATGATACCACCTTGTGTGTGTCGGGACTTGAAAAGGGAGCAAACAAAATGCGGACGTTTCGGGCAATTGCCCTATCGTGTGCTATGAAGAAGGAGACATTGCCCGAGACATCGCCTGTGCACCCCTCCACGTCACTCCACATGCCGCACCCCTTCCCAATAACCATTAGCGGGTGACGCCACTCCACATGGTATAACACCCCCCCCCCCCCCCCACCATTAATAATCATGAGCTGAACAATTTTTCTATTGAATATTTCATATTTACTGCAATACACACCCGTCCTTGGACGGCCAAACAAGCTAGTTATATATATTGCACGTTTAAAGGTCACACTGTTATTACATTGATGAACGTGGTCGACGGAGGGCATTGCCGAGGGGGTGACAGCTGATGGTTGCGCATCTCCCGGTCATCTCACAAAGCCAAACCCATGGCACCGCCTGGCTCCGGCTCTGTCCCGAGACCTCCTCGTCGACGAGCCTTCGACACTCCACGTGGCCTCAAACAAGTGAACCTCGCCTGGCACAGTCGCTCGTCGTTCAGTGGCGAACGGCGCGGGGATGTTGGTCATTGGCGGCGCAGCGACCCGTTCAGCGTAATCGTCGCTGGCGTTGGTGGTGGCCGTGAGCGGGGGGGGAATTGAACTCTGGTCGCCAAACCCAGCGGCCCACTGCGCTCACCACCGCCGCCGCCACCACCACACGTGTCCCCACGACGCACTTGGGAACAGAACGTACAGTGGTAGTAGTGTTGAGTGCCCAAGATTCCACATGGCTTGGGTTCTGTGTGTGTGAGCGTGCGCGCGCGCGTGTGTGTGTATGTTGGACATGTGCGTGCATGTCTGTTTGTTATGGAGGAGCGGTGGCGCGGCGGTTAGCGTGCCGCTCTGCGAACCCCGGCGACCCGAGTTTCGATTCCCGCTCGCGGCCACCCGAAACGTCGCCGACCGATAGCTGAACCGGTCCTGGGCCTCCCCTAGGTCGACTCAGCCTCAAACGAGTGCCCGGTGCGGTGCGTAAACATCGCCACTGGCTGCTGGCCACCCACCCCCTCGTGTACCGTTCCGGTTTTCATAGGTGCCCACTAACAGCACTTGCCCCGACAGGCTGTTAAGGTTATACGGGGGATCTTTGTCTTTTGTGAGTGTCTATGTTTGGGCGTGTTTGACTGCATATCTGTGTTTGAGTTTGAAGAGCGGTGGCGCAGCGGTTAGCGCACTGCGCTACGAACCCGGCGACCCCAGCTCGATTGCCGCCCACATCACCGGTGGCAATATCCGAACCGGTCCTCCCCTAGGTCGACTCAGCCTGAAGCGAGTAAGGGGCAATCCATTGAGTAGGTACGCAAAAAAATCTGTCAAAACTTGACCTCTCCCCCCCTCCCTGTAGGCACGCGGACTTTTTACACCCCCCCCTGCCGAATCCTATAGAACGGCCGATATTTAATCCACGCAGAAACGATCAAGGATTAATAATATTGACGCGTTTAAGCAAACAGATAGTCCACACCGCCGGGCTATCAGACTCATTTGAAGGCCAATGTAGACAAATTATTATCGATGCCCACCCCCCCCCCCCGTTTCCAATGTGTACATTGTCAGTAGACCTCTCCCCCCCCCCCATACGCACGCATTTGGGTTAACCCCCCCTCCTCCTCCTCCCCCCTCCATGCGTACGTACGGGATGGATGGCCCCGTACCTGGTGCGATGCGTAAACATCAGCATAGCCACGCGAGGTGGAGGAGGCCCCTTCCACCAGCAGGTGGTGTGAGCGTGCACTTGCAGGGCTTCACCTTTACCCGAGCATACATACAAAAGAGACAAAGATCGCCCGTACAGCCATAACAGACTTGTCTACATTGGCCTTGAGCGGCACACGAGACGGCTTCGGGCGCCCAGCACCGCGCCTGGCCGCCTTTGTCTCCCTTAGGGCGACGTTGACTACACACCGGACCGGGTGCTCATTTGAGGCTGAGTCGACCTAGGGGAGGCCCAGGACAGATTCAGAACACACACACACACATATATAACCGTGCGTGCAAATGTCCAGTTCTCCTTGTACCATAATTATCACCCTCCACGCAAATACATTCCGTTTATTTTTGATGGGTGGAGGGGGAATGCGATGTGGGGCGAGGGAGGGATGGAGAGAGAGCGAGAGATGGGAGCTGGGAGGAAAACTAAAACTTGAAATAGCATCACTGTATCTGGCAAGCAGCACCGAACGATCATCCTGACACTCAGCTGATGCTGCTGCTGCTGATGATAAGTTATAGACGTTTGTACACGCGTCATTGTTATCTGTGTGTGTGTGTCACTTGGGGGGGAGCGGTGGTGCAGCGGTTAGCTCACTGCGCTATTACGAACCCCGGCGACCCGGGTTCGATTCCCGCTCACGGCCAACACCGGTGATTTGTGATCTGAACCGGTCCTGGGCTTCCCCTAGGTCGACTCAGCCTCAAAATGAGTACCTGGTGCGGTGTGTAAACCATTGCCACTGGGGAGACAAAGGCGGCTGGGCGTGGTGCTGGCCACCCACCCCCTCGTGCACCGTTCTGGCTTTCATAGGTGCTCGCTGACAGCACTTGCCACGAAAGTCTGTGAAAGGCTATATGGGGGACTTTGTATTTTGTTTCTGTGGTAGTGGGGAGCGGTGGCGCACCGGTTAGCCCACTGCGCTATTACGAACCCCGGCTACCCGAGTTCGATTTCCGCTCACGGTCAACACCGGCGGCAATTATCTGAACCGGTTTTAGGCCTCTCCTAGGTCGACTCAGCCTCAAACGAGCACCTGGTCGCGATGTGTAAAAATATCGCGACTGGGAAGACAAAGGCGGCCGGGCGTGGTTGCTGCTGGCCACCCACCCCCTCGTGCGCCGTTCCGACCTTCATAGGCGCTACTCGCTAACAGCACTTGCCCCAAACAGTCTGTTACAGGCTACACGGGGGATCTTTGTCTTTGCGTGAGTGTCACATGACACCCCGGATTCATCTGTACATGATGGAGATGGTGGTGATGATGGAGATGGTGGTGATGGTGGTGATGATGGAGATGGTGGTGATGATGGAGATGGTAGTGATGATGGAGATGGTGTTGATGATGGTGATTATGTTGATCGTTGGTGGAGATGGTGATGATTGTTGATGATGGAGATGATGACGATGGAGAAGATTGATCATAGAGATGGTGATGATGGTTGATGATGGAGATGATGACGATGGAGGTGATTGATCATAGAGATGGAGATGATGGTTGATGATGGAGATGGTGGTGATGATGGAGATGGTAGTGATGATCGTGGTGATGATGGTGATCGTTGGTGGAGATGGTGATGATGGTTGATGATGGAGATGATGACGATGGAGGTGATTGATCATAGAGATGGTGATGATGGTTGATGATGGAGATGATGACGATGTTGGATAACGATGGTGATGGTAGCCGAGCGATGGAGAATGGAGGATGATGGTGATGAGGGAACACTACATACAGTAGGTTGTGTAGTCACGTGCGTTTCCCGGCACACAAACATCGCCATCACCCCCATCACCTTACCCTCCCCATCACCCTACCCTCACTATCACCTTACCATCACCCCCATCGCTATCACCTTACCCTTACCATCACCCCCATCACCCTACCTCACCACCACCCTTTTCTCATGTTTTTTAGACTGTGCTCCGATCGTGTTTGTGTGCTGTTTGTTGCTGTCACGTTCTGATCCCGTGCGCCTACTGGACATCTGTGGAAAAGAGCTTTATGGCTCATCGGATTCCACCTGCAGTCTAAATAAAGATTCTGATCACCCCCCCCCTCACTACCCCCCCCCCCTCACCACCACCCTCACCACCCCCCTCACCACCCCCCCCCTCACCACTCCCCTCACCACTCCCCCTCACCACCCCCCCCCTCACCACTCCCCTCACCACTCCCCTCACCACCCCCTCACCACCACCCCCTCACCACCCCCCTCACCACCCCCCTCACCACCCCCCCCCCTCACCACTCCCCCTCACCACCCCCCTCACCACCCCCCTCACCACTCCCCCTCACCACCCCCCTCACCACCCCCCTCACCACCACCCTCACCACCCCCCTCACCACCCCCCTCACCACCCCCCCCTCACCACTCCCCCTCACCACCCCCCTCACCACCCCCCTCACCACCCCCCTCACCACCACCCTCACCACCCCCCTCATCACCACCCTCACCACCCCCCCCCTCACCACCCCCCTCACCACCCCCCTCACCACCCCCCTCACCACCCCCCTCACCACCCCCCCTCACCGTTTCTCTCATCAGTCCCACCATCAAAGACAAAGATCCCCCATATAGCCTTAACAGATTGTAGGGGCAAGTGCTGCTAGCGAGTAGCACCTGTGAAGGCCGGCACGGCACACGAGGGGGTGGGTGGCCAGCACCACGCCCGACCGCCTTTGTCTCCCCCAGTGGCGATGTTTACTACGCACCGCACTAGGTACTCATAAGAGGCTGAGCCGACCTAGGGGAGTTCAAATAATCAAATAATCGTCACCGGTGTTGGCCGCGAGCGTGAATCGAACTCGGGTCGCCGGGTTCGTAGCGCAGCGCAGCGCTCACCACTACACCACCGCTCCCCACACTCACACACACACCGCGCACCACTACACCACCGCTCCCCCATCACCTTCCCCCCCCCCCCCATCACTCCCATCAGCCCCCCATCACCTCCCTTCACCCCCCCCCCCATCACTCCCATCAGCTCCCCCATCACCTCCCTCCACCGCCCTATCACCCCCCCCCCATCACTCCCATCAGCCCCCCCATCACCTCCCTCCACCCCCCCCCCCATCACTCCCATCAGCCCCCCATCACCTCCCTCCACCCCCCCCATCACTCCCATCAGCTCCCCCATCACCTCCCTCCACCGCCCTATCACCCCCCCCCATCACTCCCATCAGCCCCCCCATCACCTCCCTCCACCCCCCCATCACTCCCATCAGCTCCCCCATCACCTCCCTCCACCCCCCCCATCACTCCCATCAGCCCCCCATCACCTCCCTCCACCCTCCCATCAAACTCCCCCACCTCTCCCATCAGCCCCCCCCCCCACATCACCTCTCTCTCATCCCCATCACTCCCATCAGCACCCCCCCCATCACCCCCCCCCATCACCCTCGCCCCCATCACTCCCATCAGCCCCCCCCCCATCACCTCCCCCCACCCCACAGCACTCACGGCCCCTCCCACCACGTGACGACGTCACGCGACAGTGACGCGCCAGGGGCGGCGGGGCTGGGTTGGGGTCAGAGGTTACCCGCAATGGCCGCCCCCATGCGTCTCGGCGGCGGCGTGGTCTGGTCGTGGTGTCGCCGCGGGGGACTCCCCCGGCTGAGGTCCCCTCCGGGGACCCCCCGCGCCCAGGGGTCCTCCCCGGGGGTGCCCGCGACGCTGGGGCTCCGGGCCTCCCCCGCGGGAGCCTGGGTCGACGGGGCGGCTCCGCTGTCCTCTGGCGCCGCGCGCGGCAGCGCTGGAAGCGATGCGATGTGCCTGAGCAGTGTGCGGTGCGTTCATTGGGATTCGTTCATTCGTTTATTCATTCATTCGTGTACCTGGGCACTGCGGCGTACGCAGTTATTCGTTCCCTGACTGACTCACCTATTGATTCATTCCTGTGTCTGGGCAGTGTGCGGTGCGTTCATTGGGATTCGTTCATTCGTTCATTCATTCATTCGTGTACCTGGGCACTGCGGCGTATGCAGAGATTCGTTCTCTGACTGACTCACCTATTGATTCATTCCTGTGTCTGGGCAGTGTGCGGTGCGTTCATTGGGATTCGTTCATTCGTTGCCTTGAGCGACTCATTTGTTGATTAATTCCTGTGTCTGGGCACTCTGTGCATTCGGAGAATCGTTCATTCATTACCTTGCTCGACTCATTCATTCACACCTGTGCCTGAGCAGTGTGCGGTGCGTTCAGAGATTCGTTCATTTATTTGATCGACTCATTCGTTGATTCATTCATGTGTCTGGGCACTGCGGTGTGTACAGAGAGTCATTCCCCGATTGACTCATTCGTTTATTCATTAATTCCTGTGCCTGCTCGCGGTGCGTGCAGAGACTAATTAATTTCTTGATTGACTAATCCATTAATGTGCCTTGGCTCTGTGCGGTGCAGAGAGAGATTCATTCTCTGATTGACACATTGGTGAATTCATTCCTAGGCACTGCGTGCTGAGATTCATTCCCCGCTTCAGAGACGAATTCATCGATTCATTCATTTGCCTGGGCACCGTGGTGCGTAGAGGAAGAGCGATTCATTCCGCGAATGAGTTGTGAGGTTCATTAGGACATTCCTGTCCTTGGGGCACTTTGCAATATGCAGAGAGAATGAAACGGGCAATTTGTTTTGCGAATGAATCGAGTCGTTAATTCACTTCGTTATTCCAAGGCACTGTTGCGTGGAGTGATTCATTCTCCGAATTGAATGAGTGAATTACGAGGTCGTTAACTTGGTAGTTCCTGTCCTTGGTGCACACTGGTGCGTGCAGTCATTCATTACCGATTCATTCTGCAAACGAATTAAAAGTGATCATTCATTTGTTTCGTCGTTCCTGATGTGTCCGTGTGTGGCGTGGATTATGTTGATGGCGCCGTGGCGTTGAACCTCGCGGGAACGATGGACATGGGTTCGATTCCCCACTAGGGTGCCTTTATCTGTGTGGCGTTTGTATTCTTTCCCCCCTGGTCTGCACGCGTTCCCTCCGTAGTTCTCAAGTTTACTCCCATCGCTAAGAAGCTCACAAATATAACTGGCATTGGCCACAATATCCAAATGTTGAAATCTTCCCTGCTAACTACTCAATTGGGATTACTAAATTATACATTTTTGTTGTTTTCCCAGGTAAGGGCCCCTCTTGAGCTACCTCGCTGGTTTTCAGCGGCGACCTGGCCCACCACAAATGATAGCCCAACGGAAGTGGCTCATCGTCGTGTGGAAATTTATAGCACGCAAACACTCTGAACGCGCGGACGTTGATTCCACGCGACCACAGGGAGAGGGAGAGAGAGAGAGTCACCGCAAACTCCCATATATACATAGGGCGTCGGGGTCGGGATCGAACCCAGGCGCTTCTGTTGCACACACGGTAGCAACATCGCCCCCTGCTGCGAAAGTTTGCCACGACACGTCTCGAGACTCGGTGAGGCTCTTCTGGGCAAACAGGGAGAACAAGAACGATGCACGCGCGTGACATCGACAGTGATCATGATCACTGTGCGTGTGACATCGATGACGTCGATAATGTTGACGCGTGACCTTGGGGGGGTGGAGGCTCGTGAAGGACGCTGCTCGGCACTGGGAGGCAAGTCGCCTTCAAGCAACAGAATCGGAAATATTTGCACCGGAGGAATTCGATGATCTCCGAAGCTCTTTTTCACAGATGCCCGGTAGCCTCACAGCGACAGCGGAGGGGAGAGGGAGCGACGCTCGCAACAACGAGCGGGGCTCCAGGCGGCTAAAACGCTGGCGCAGTATGGGGGCTACAGATGGTGCATCTGTCAGTCATCCCATGGCACCTGGGTCTGTCCCGTGACCTCCTGTACCTAGCCTGCCACAGCAGTCAACCCATGGCACCTGGGCCTGTCCCGTGACCTCCTGTACCTAGCCTGCCACAGCAGTCAACCCATGGCACCTGGGCCTGTCCCGTGACCTCAAGTTCAGGAGTGTATTTCCCGAGTGAAGGGGGACTCGGCCGGCAGGCATCATCAGCAGAGAGCCTTCGGCACTTCACGTGGTCTCAAGGTGCACCTAGCCTGGCACAAGCGCCGTGGTGACGTCACCGCCACTTTGGTGGCGAGCGGCGGCTGTCGTGACAGTAATTATATTGATGGTGGTGATGTGTGACCTCGACGATGGCGGTGATGTGTGACCTTGATGTTGCTGTGTGACATCAATGGTGATCTGCGCGTGACCTCGATGACAATGTGTGTGTGACGATGACGACGATGACGACGATGACGACGACGATGACGATGTGCGTGCGATGTTGCAGGCAGCGTGACTACGAGGGGTTCCTCTGCTCGCTGCTCGTGCCGTCCCACGCACGCTCCGCAGTCATCGCGCTCAGAGCGTTCAACGTGGAGCTTGCGCAGGCCAGTAGACCCACCCGCACTACCGCACTACCGCACCCACACGCACTACCATAGCCTGAAACAGACTGTTGGGGCAAGCGCTGTTAGCGAGCAGCACCTATGAAGGCCGGCACGGCACACGAGGGGGCGGGTGACCAGCACCGCGCCCGGCCGCCTTTGCCTCCCCAGTGGTGATGTTTACACGCCGGTTACTCACTTGAGGCCGGGTCGACCTAGGGGAGGCCCAGGAACAGTTCAGATAATCGTCACCGGTGTCGACCGCGAGCGGGAATGGAACTCGGGTCGCCAGGTTCGTAGCGCAGTGCGCTAACCACTACGCCACTGCTCCCCACTACCGCACCCGTACCCACCCGCACTACCGCACTTGCATCCACCTGCACTACCGCACCCGTACCCACCCGCACTACCACACCTGTACCTACCCACACTAACGCAGCTACTGCACCTGTACCCACCCGCACTACCACACCTGTACCTACCCACACTAACGCAGCTACTGCACCTGTACCCACCCGCACTACCACACCTGTACCTACCCACACTACCACACCTGTACCTACCCACTAACGCAGCTACTGCACCTGTACCCACCCGCACTACCACACCTGTACCTACCCGCACTACCACACCTGTACCCACCCGCACTACCACACCTGTACCCACCCGCACTACCACACCTGTACCTACCCACACTAACGCAGCTACTGCACCTGTACCCACCCGCACTACCACACCTGTACCTACCCACACTACCACACCTGTACCTACCCACTAACGCAGCTACTGCACCTGTACCCACCCGCACTACCACACCTGTACCTACCCGCACTACCACACCTGTACCCACCCGCACTACCACACCTGTACCCACCCGCACTACCACACCTGTACCTACCCACACTAACGCAGCTACTGCACCCGTACCCACCCGCACTACCACACCTGTACCTACCCACACTACTACACCTGTACCTACCCACACTAACGCAGCTACTGCACCTGTACCCACCCGGAGGTGCGGCCGTGTCCTCGGCTTGAGCTGCTTGCTCCCCCACCCCTCCTCCCCGAGCAGATCAGGGAAGCGGTGACCGACACGGCGCTGGGGAGGATGCGCGTGCAGTTCTGGCGCGACACGGTGGAGGCCATCTACTCGGCGGGGCCTCCGCCGGCGCAGCCGATCGCCGTGGAGCTGCGGAAGGTGCGGAACGCGGAAAAAAAACCGGGGGGGGGGTGGGGAGGGGTGGCGGGGGAGGAAGAAAAAACCCATTCGGGCGCACGGGCGACATGAACGATGAATCGCGATGCAGAATCACGTAAGAGGTAGCGGGGGTGACTTGGGGTGCCGGGTTAGCGCGGGCGAGCGGTGAAGGCGGCCGAGTACCAGGCGGGCGCTGCCCGCTGCTGTTCCGCTGTAGTTACACGGTCATTCCGCTGTAGTTCCACAGTCGTTCCGTGGTAGTTCCACGATAGTTCCATGGTTGTTCCACAGTAGTTCCGCGGTAGTTCCTCGGTATATCCGCGGTAGTTCCGTAGTCATTCCGTGGTCGTTCCGTGGTAGGGGGCAGCAGCGCGCCGACGTTGCTGTGAAAAATCCCAAACCGAGCGGCTCGCAGCGTCGTCCGTCCGTGCGATGGGCGCGCGCGCCGATCGAGCCGGCTCTCTCGTTTATCGAGTGAGGTCACGTGGGATGCGTCACGTCCGCTGCGTACGAGGACGCGCTTGGTGTGACGGTCGTTGTCGCGGCAGCGATATCTTCTACGGTCAACGCACGCCGTGATATTAACCGGGGCGGCCTCTGGGTTGCAACCGCTCGCGCCCGCCGCCTTCCGACGGCGACGCCGCCTTCCGACGGCGACGCCAAAGTGCCGCGATTTAAAAACACCGGCTTCACCGCCACGGCTGAGAATTCCTGACGGCGGCGGTGGTGACGGTTGCGCTGCTGCTGCACGTGGCCGACTGTAACCTGGAGACAGCAGCAGCAGCAGGGTGGGTTGGTGGACCGCAGCAGGGAGGGTTGGTGGATGGCAACAGGAGGGGTTGGTGGATGGCAGCAGGGAGGGTTGGTGATACGCAGCAGGGAGGGTTGGTGGATGGCAACAGGGGGGGTTGGTGGACCGCAGCAGGAGGGGTTGGTGAATCGCAGCAGGGAGGGGTTGGTGGATGGCAGCAGGGAGGGTTGGTGGACTGCAGCAGGGTGGGTTGGTGGATGGCAACAGGGGGGGTTGGTGGACCGCAGCAGGGAGGGTTGGTGGATGGCAGCAGGGAGGGTTGGTGGACTGCAGCAGGGTGGGTTGGTGGATGGCAACAGGGGGGGTTGGTTGACCGCAGCAGGAGGGGTTGGTGAAACGCAGCAGGAGGGGTTGGTGGACCGCAACAGGGAGGGTTGGTGAATCGCAGCAGGAGGGGTTGGTGGACCGCAGCAGGAGGGGTTGGTGGACCGCAGCAGGAGGGGTTGGTGGACCGCAACAGGGAGGGTTGGTGAATCACAGCAGGAGGGGTTGGTGGAACGCAGCAGGAGGGGTTGGTGGACCGCAACAGGGAGGGTTGGTGAATCGCAGCAGGAGGGGTTGGTGGAATGCTGCAGGAGGAGTTGGTGGACCGCAACAGGGAGGGTTGGTGGACCGCAGCAGGAGGGGTTGGTGGACCGCAGCAGGGAGGGTTGGTGAATCGCAGCAGGAGGGGTTGGTGAATCGCAGCAGGAGGGGTTGGTGGAGCCATGCCCTGGCTCACCGGGAGAAGGCGGTGCAGCCAAAGTGTGGACTAATCTCCATCTGTTCCACCTCCCAGTGGGACGTCAAGGAGCTGTCATACACAGGCTCGCTGTGGGAAGTCAGCGCAGCAAATATGGACTATACGCATTCCGTCTGTGTGGGATAGAGCGTTGCTCCCTCGCGAGTGTGCTTTTGTTTTCCCTCCGGGTGCTCCGGTTTGTTCCCACGTGTTGAGCACTCATTAACCCCTTCCCATTAAGAGACGTCTGCAAGTTGCGGGGTTGCTGCTCGCTAGAGAGCGGCTAGCGAGTGGCTACAGAGTAGCTACAGAGCGGCTATAGAGCGGCTAGTGAGTGGCTACAGAGCGGCTACAGAGTGGCTACAGAGTGGCTACAGAGCGGCTACAGAGCGGCTACAGAGTGGCTACAGAGCGGCTAGCGAGCGGCTACAGAGTGGCTACAGAGTGGCTACAGAGCGGCTACAGAGTGGCTACAGAGTGGCTACAGAGTGGCTACAGAGTGGCTACAGAGCGGCTACAGAGTGGCTACAGAGTGGCTACAGAGCGGCTACAGAGCGGCTACAGAGTGGCTACAGAGCGGCTAGCGAGCGGCTACAGAGTGGCTACAGAGTGGCTACAGAGTGGCTACAGAGCGGCTAGCGAGTGGCTACAGAGTGGCTACAGAGCGGCTAGCGAGCGGCTACAGAGTGGCTACAGAGCGGCTACAGAGTGGCTACAGAGCGGCTAGCGAGTGGCTACAGAGTGGCTACAGAGCGGCTACAGAGCGGCTACAGAGCGGCTACAGAGCGGCTACAGAGCGGCTACAGAGTGGCTAGCGAGCGGCTACAGAGTGGCTACAGAGTGGCTACAGAGCGGCTACAGAGTGGCTACAGAGCGGCTACAGAGCGGCTACAGAGTGGCTACAGAGCGGCTAGCGAGCGGCTACAGAGTGGCTACAGAGTGGCTACAGAGCGGCTACAGAGTGGCTACAGAGCGGCTACAGAGCGGCTACAGAGCGGCTACAGAGCGGCTACAGAGTGGCTACAGAGCGGCTAGCGAGTGGCTACAGAGTGGCTACAGAGCGGCTACAGAGTGGCTACAGAGCGGCTAGCGAGTGGCTACAGAGTGGCTACAGAGTGGCTACAGAGCGGCTACAGAGTGGCTACAGAGTGGCTACAGAGTGGCTACAGAGCGGCTAGCGAGTGGCTACAGAGTGGCTACAGAGCGGCTACAGAGTGGCTACAGAGCGGCTAGCGAGTGGCTACAGAGTGGCTACAGAGTGGCTACAGAGTGGCTACAGAGCGGCTACAGAGTGGCTACAGAGTGGCTACAGAGTGGCTACAGAGTGGCTACAGAGCGGCTACAGAGTGGCTACAGAGCGGTTAGCGAGTGGCTACAGAGTGGCTACAGAGTGGCTACAGAGCGGCTACAGAGCGGCTAGCGAGTGGCTACAGAGCGGCTACAAAGTGGCTACAGAGTGGCTATAGAGTGGCTGCAGAGCGGTTAGCGAGTGGCTACAGAGCGGCTACAAAGTGGCTACAGAGTGGCTACAGAGCGGCTAGCGAGCGGCTAGTGAGTGGCTACAGAGCGGCTACAGAGTGGCTACAGAGTGGCTACAAAGTGGCTACAGAGTGGCTAGTGAGTGGCTACAGAGCGGCTACAAAGTGGCTACAGAGTGGCTAGCGAGCGGCTAGCGAGCAGCGGCGACCGCGGCGGCACAATCCAAGTTGACATTATGGGGAGCGGTGGCACAACGGTTAGCGCGCTGCACTACGAACCCGGCCGATACCCGACCACGCTTCCCGCTCACAACCAAGAACAGTGGCGATTATTTTGAACCGGTCCTGGGCCTTCCCTTGATCGACTCGGCCTCAAATGAGTACCTGGTGCTGTGCGTAGTAAACGTCACCACGAGGGAGACAACGGCGGTCGGGCGTGGTGCTGGCCACCCACCCCCCCTCGTGTGCCGTGCCGGCCTTCACAGGTGGTGCTTACTCGATAGCAGCGCTTGCCCCAACGGCCCGTTAAGGTTACATGGGGGACCTTTGTGTGTTGCAGGCCGTCAAGAAGCACAAGCTGACGAAACGGTGGCTCCTCCGCATCATCGACGAGCGGGTACGAATGGCGATCCGGAAAAGCGCTCCATCTCCGCGACGGTGACCCCCTCTCGGGCGCTTTCCCTCCTTTGCCTGCTCTTCTGTCACCAGTCTCGTCCTTTGTACGTCATCTTTTCCGAGCCATGCCGTGAACTCGTTGTTGTTATCTATATATATAAAAGGGAAATTTGGGAATGTGTGTGTCTGTTCGAAATGTTTAGCATACTTCCCAACATGCAATAAACTTGAAATTTGGCACGTGGGTAGCTTCCAGGCTGTACACAATGCAAAACGTATAAAAATAGACTTTGGTATTTTGGGGGGTGGGGGGGGGCGCAATAATGTATATATTTTGCACGGCAAGTGAGCGGTGACGTCACATCTGTGATGTCACCCGCATGCGGCAGCGTCACGCAGCGTGCCTGCTGACGTCACGCATCCCCCCCCCCCACTCTCCGCGTAGGCCGTGTATTAATCCAAGACAAGAATCCAAGTCCCGGGTGAAGCCGGGTACTCAGGCTAGTTAGTCATATTAGGAAGCCACTGTGAGAGCTGTGCACTCAAATCAAGATTGAAAACTAATTTCTTTAGAACTGCTTCTTCTTCTTGTTGTTTAGTTTCTTGTCCTGCCCCCGCACTTACGATTCGCACGGTTGGCTACGTACGGTGCGAAAGAAGTTCAACGTGCGTACATCACATCGTTGACTCCACTCCCCTTTCCCGTCGAGTTGCGCCACGGGGTAACGGGCTTTATTTTTTCACCATCATGATAGTCGGCTATATTTTGTTAAACGTACCGCCGGGCGGAGGTGGCCACGCTGCTGCCCGTGGCTGCCCGTTGTAACCCAGCACCGTGGAGGCAGCGAGGGTTGGTGGGTCGCCGCACAGATGGGTTGTGAAACTCCCATCCGCTGGGTGGGGGAGGGAGCCCCCCGTACCCCTGGCTCGCATGGAGAAGGCGGAGCAGCAACAGTGGACTAATCGCCGTCTGTTTCCGTCCGTACGGGGATACAGCGTTACCCCCCCCCCTCCCCCCTCCTTCGTGCGTGGCGTGGGGTTTTCTCCGGGCGCTCCCCTGTTCCTCGCCGCTTGCCTCATAATAGTAACGGACACGACAATGAAACTCAACTGGGAACATCTTAAAACGGTAGGGCCACCTTCTCCCCGGGAGTCGCGAGCGATTTCGGCCGGTGACCGATCGCCGCTGTCGCTCGGCGTGCAGGAGAGGAACCTGAGCGACCGCGCGTACGGAAGCGTCGGCGAGCTGGAGACGTACGCGGAGAACACCCAGTCGTCGCTCCTCTACCTCACCCTGGAGGCTCTGGGTACGCACGCACGCAAAGACGCACACACGCAAACACACACACACCTGTCTGCCTGTGTGGTTCCGTCTTGCACGTGTCCGTCCGTCCGTGTGACGGCCTTCATAGGTGCTGCTCGCTAACAGCACTTGCCCCAAACAGTCTGTTAAGGCTGCACGGGGAAAGCTTTGTTTTTTGTGCGGGGAGCGATGGCGTCGCGGTTAGCGCTACGAACCCGGCGACCCGAGTTCGATTTCCTACTCACGGCCAACACCGGTGACGATTAGCTGAACCGGTCCTGGGCCTCCCCTAGGATGACTCCGCTTCAAATGAGCACCCGGTGCGGTGTGTAAACGTCGCCACTGGGGAGACAAAGGCGGCCAGGTGTGGTGCTGGCCACCCACCCCTTCGTGTGCCGTCCCGGCCTTAAATAGGTCCTACTCGCTAACAGCACTTGCCCCAGCGGCCTTTTGAAGACTATACGGAGGGGGGGGATCTTTGTCTCGTGAGTGTACGATATACGTGAACTGGAGTCGTCATTCGCGTCCGCAAGTAAATTGGCGGGCAATCGCTGCGTGGTTTTGTAATCTTGAGATTTTCTTCCGAACGCCGCTTGACTTCGCGACGGCCACGGCGTTATTTTTACGATTCCGATTCCCACCCCTCCTCTGCCGCCCCCCCCCCCCCCCCACATTCCCCCCCCCCCCCCGGCAGGGGTGCGCGACATCCACGCGGACCACGCGGCGAGCCACATCGGCAAGGCCCAGGGCGTGGCCACGTGCCTGCGAGCCGTGGCACCCCTCGCCGCACGCCGCCGCCGCATCTTCCTGCCGCTCGACCTGTGCCTCCTGGTGAGGATGTTCACCTCCTCGCTCCTCCTCCTTGCTCCTCGCTCCTCCTCCTCGCTCCTCCTCTCCCTTGTCGCTCCTCGTGGCTCCTCGTCCTCCGTCCTGTCCCTCTCTCCGCTCTCCTCCGATCTGATCCACTGATGGTGATGACGATGATGGTAATGATGGTGACGATGGCGATGATGACGATGACGATTATTGCTTCAAGAACCGACGTCTTCATCGCCGACCTGGCAGCAGAGGGTCCCCTGGCTTTGACCTCCCCCGAATGCGGTGGACGGCACTCGACCGAACCCGCTCACAGGAGACAGCGCGGCGATGACGCTGACGATGACGACGACGCTGACGCTGATGATGACGACGACGACGATGATCATGATGACGATAATGACGCACCGTACGTAGCCAACCGCGCTCATCTAAGTGGCTTCCTAATATCGGACGGAAGAGCATTCCAGACGGCGCCGCGCGGTGACCGCCGCCACCGCCGCCGCCACCGCCGCCTTTGATTCGATGGCCGACCAGAAGCCCGATGTGGCGATCCCCCGGACGCCGGCCACCACGAGATCGCTTCACGAGCATCGTTTTTTTTATTTTATTTTTCTTTCCCGTGCCTCACTCCGCGGAAGGAAGCCGCGCCCCGCCCCCACCGCCCCCACCGCCCCCACCGCCCCCACCGCCCCCACCGCCCCCACCGCCCCCACCGCCCCCCATCGCGCGTGCCCCCGCCTCCAACGGCTCGCTGTGTTGTGGTGCGTGTCTCTGCGCAGCACGGCGTGTCCCAGGAGCAGCTGCTACGGGGCAACCGTGACAGAGCCGTGCGGGACCTCGTGTACGACCTCGCCAGCCAGGCACACGCTCACCTGGAACACGTGAGCTGCCCCCCCCCCACAACCCCCCCCCCCCGTAACCCCCACCATCCCATCCCCAAGGAACGCGCCCCCCCCCCCCCATTCGATGACTCGCCCCCCCCCCCCCCCCCAGCCCAACGGGTAGCAAGGGGGGGGGGGCAGCACCTACGACTGTAGCTGGGCCAATGAGTTCTCCTCCTCGTCGTCGTCGCGAGCGTGGACTTTGTGAGCGGCGTCGTTGTTGTCGTTGTTGTTGTCGTTGTTGTTGTTGTTGTCCCTCCCAGGCACGGTCGTTCAGCCGGAACGTCCCAAAAGCGGCCACCATCGCCTTCCTCCCCACGGTGAGTCGTTCCCCCACGCTGAGTCGTTCCCCCACTGTGAGTCGTTCCCCCATGCTGAGTCGTTCCCCCACTGTGAGTCGTTCCCCCACTGAGTCGTTCCCCACTGTGAGTCGTTCCCCCACGGTGAGTCGTTCCCCCACTGTGAGTTGAGTCGTTCCCCCACTGTGAGTCGTTCCCCCACTGTGAGTCGTTCCCCCACTGTGAGTCGTTCCCCCACTGTGAGTTGAGTCGTTCCCCCACTGTGAGTCGTTCCCCCACTGTGAGTTGAGTCGTTCCCCCACTGTGAGTCGTTCCCCCACAGCGAGTCGTTCCCCCACAGCGAGTCGTTCCCCCACTGTGAGTCGTTCCCCCACTGTGAGTCGTTCCCCCACTGTGAGTCGCTCCCCCACTAACGCCGGCCTGTGCGAGCGAGCTACCCTGGGGGGGGGGGGGGGGAATCTTTATTCTCTCGTCCCGTGCCCCCCCCGTGGGTCGAAGGTCGCCGTGGAGGACTTCCTCGTGAGGATCCAGAAGGTGGACTTTGACGTGTTTCACCCGAGCCTCCAGCGGAGGAACACGCTCCTGCCGCTCCGCCTTTACCTGCGGTCGTGGAGACGTGGATACTGAAGGGGACGCGCCCGCTCAGCCGGCCACGCCGTGGCCGGCTACAGCAGCACCACCGCCGCCGCCGCCGCCGCAGTCGGTCCACGTCACAGCTGGGTACACCGACCAACAATTCGAGCCACACCCTAACCAGAACTTACTGCATCGTTGCAGCCGTCGTCCGCAGCCCGCGATAACGCGCAACAACGACATCGGCAGACAGCCGCAGCGTGCTAAAAATGCGTATCACACACACACCCACACCACAAATCCGGCCACATCGCGACCGGCCACACCATTCTATTGCGCTGCGTATATACGGGCGGCCCCCCGCTCTTCACGGTGACTCAACGCGTTCCTGGAAACACCCCCCCCCCCTGCTTCCCCCAAAGACGGTAGAAACGGTAGAGAGACATCACTTTGCCGATGGAGTGTTTTTCTTCCCCATTCATCGGCCGTGTTGAAACGGGGTTCAATAGGTCGTAAAACAAAAAAACAAAATCATCTCGCGCGAAATACACCGGGAACAAACGAACGAACACCTCCGGGCCAAGAGTCGCGTGGGAAACCGGAGCGACTCTCCGTATCAAAGTGCGTTTCGGGGGCCGTGCCGGGAGACGCCCGTCGTAAATCCAGTTTTCCTACGTCGTTGTAGTGTACAGACGTTTGTAAAAACTGCGTGGACCAGGAAACTCGATGCCCCAATGTGGAGGTCTCCTGCTGCTGCTGCTGCTGGCGGCCACGGCGAGAGGGCTTCAACAGAGACACAGAGAGAGAGAGAGTTCGCGTCCCTACTCCACCGTTGAAGGAGCGCGCAGGCCGCAGCAGATTAACTGCACGCTCCATAGGTTGGCCGCAGGTGCACAATGGTCTACTGTACCACAGCCTGCTACACCCTGTTATGCCATACCACACCACGGCTTAAGCCAGAAATCCGGCACGCCACAGCATTCCAGCCACACCACGGGCAGCCACGGAACTTTGCCACCACACCGGCATCCTCTGCCACCACACCAGCATCCTGTGCCACATCGCACTGCGGTCAGGCAAACCATGGTTCACACCACACTTGGGACAGCACTCGCCACTTACCATAGCCGCGCGTGCAGAGGAATCCGAGTTGGGGGGTCGGACCAGCCGGTGTGATAGCGCGGAGCGCCGATCACCGCGCCACCCACCGCCACTGCACGTACTTGCGTTTAACTTCTTTCGCACCGTACGTAGCCAGCCGCGTTGATCGGAGGTGCGGGGGGAAGGACGGACTGGGCACAAAAAGCAGTTCTAATGAAATGCGTATGTCAATCTAGATTTCAAAGTGCTTGGCTGCAAGTGGCTGCCTGATATTGGGCGGAAGGGGCGTTCCAGACGGTGTCCGTATCCACACAAGAGGGCGCTGTGCGACAGTTTGAGAATTGTCAGCGGAGTCGGACGACTAAAACTGTCGACTGTTTCCTTGGTTCTTTCGGTAAAGTCACCAAGTAGAAGGGAAATAATAAAAATAAAACGTAAAATAAAATTATCACGACGTTTCGGCCACAACGCAAGTAGCCGTCCTCAGGCGAAGGAACAGAACTGGCGGAAATCTTAAAATACGCTGCCAAGCTTAGCGGTGTTCATTGGAGCGTTGTCTTTCAGCGACTGTTTTGTTTCTTCACCTGAGGATGGCTGCTTGTGTTGTGCCCGAAACGTGGTGAGAATTTAATTTTGTTTTTTTTATATATATTATTTTATTATTTCCCTTCTACTTGGTGACTTTACCGAAAGAACCAAGAAGACGAATCCCTGCAGTCACGAAAGCTTTAAATCGAAAAATCTCAACTGTTCGTTATTTTACCCGGTATTAGCCCACGGAGACCTGGGGGTATAGCTGGGCGTACGTGGCGACGTCCCGGGGGGGTGGGGGTACGTGGGGTGGTTTATAAACGCGAGAAATTCTGTCGTGCGTGAGATTCGCTGGTGAACGATCCCGTTGTTTGTGTGAATCTGCCAACGTCAAGTAACCACGATGACGTTCACGATCCGTACGGTGGCCTCGAACGATATCAAAACACCTTTCTGGACTCGTCGGTCGTGAAGCAACGTCGGGTTCCAAGGCGAACCAGCGAACGCCAACAGATTCCGTCACGCGGAGCAGAGCCTCCGTTGCGTTTTAGGTTTTTTTTTTACACACTCGTGAGCAGTCATTTGGCGATGCAACACAGGAGTTGCGTTAAGATGATCAAACAACCGAATAGAAACCTCTAGCAAGGAATCGAGTTGCTGCAGGAATCGCACGCACGCTCCTCGTGGCGAACGTGCAGGCTAAACACGTGGCCCTGGTATACCGACGATCATCACCCAGGAATGGCCTTGATGCTCGTGACGTCACTCCACATCGACCACCCCCCCCTCATTAATAATCATGAACAGGTGACGTCCTCCAAATGGACCCCCCCCCCGCCTCCATAATTAGCGGCTGACGTCACTCCACATGGGGGGGGGCCGAGGCGCCTCCTCCCCCCTCCTCAGCGTCAACTCGCAACCCTCGCTACAAAGGCAGAACCCTCACGTCATCACGTGATCTCCGTGACTGCTGTTGTTGAGACATCGAAGTAAAAAGGACGTCACGATGAACGAGGGATTATAACCTGGTCATGATTATTAATGAGGGGGGAGGGTGCTCCATGTGGAGTGACGTCACTCGCTCATGATTATTAATGAGGGGCGGGTCAATGTGGAGGACCCCACCTGTTCATGGTTATTCAGGAGGGTGGCTGTTCGATGTGCAGTGACGTCACCTGCTCATAAGTATTAATGGTGGGGGGGTGGGGCTGGTCGACGTGGAGTGACGTAACGCGCGTTACACACAGACATTCTTGGGTAAATATAGTCAACTACGCTTGGTTTCCGGTGAAAGGATCACCCAGTCTCGTGGCTACATTCGAGGGAGGGTTGTTTCCCAATGTTTGCAGGAGGCGATGGTTGTTGCTGCTGCTATGTGTGATCCCAATTGAGTGATTTGGCAATAATATTGGGCGTGAGTGACGTAGTTCACAAGCTTGATGGCATGGAATTATAACCGTTTATATTTATGGCAATAAAAATAAAAGCGTGACGAGTTTGTACACTGAGATGCACCTCTCTCTCCATCAGCTCAACCCTCCCGTAAACCACGTGGTAAGCCACGTGCCCCTGCGTATAGCCACTCCCACTCCGAGCCCCCCCACCGCCCCCTGTGAAAACAGACGCTGTTCCTGCGAAAATTAAACTTCTCATCGCTCCATCTCTCTTCTCACTCTCATCATCATCGTCGTCGTCATCATCACCCTGTACAAATGAATCACAATACCTCGCTGATCTCGTCAAGTAGCGGATTTTGGCTAACCATTGAACAAAGGCGATGGTCGGCATCATCGCGCGGCGCTTTCAGATGCGCTTCTGCGGCCGTCTGGAACGCTCTTACGATATTGGGAAGCCACTCAGCCAGGTCATTCTTTTCTCCCCACTCCTCCCCTTCCCGTATGTGTGGAGTTTGTAAGCTCTCCCCCTTTGTTCTACAGTGCGAGTAATCGAGTGTGAGAGAGTGAGTGAGTGGAGTTTGTATGATCTCCCCCTGTTCTATAGTGAGTGAGTGGAGTTTGTATGATCTCCCCCTGTTCTATAGTGAATGAGTGGAGTTTTATTATCTCCCCCTGTTCTATAGTGAGTGAGTGAGTGGAGTTTTATTATCTCCCCCTGTTCTATAGTGAGTTAGTGAATGGAGTTTGTATGATCTCCCCCTGTTCTATAGTGAGTGGAGTTTGTATGATCTCCCCCTGTTCTATAGTGAGTGGAGTTTTATTATCTCCCCCTGTTCTATAGTGAGTGAGTGGAGTTTTATTATCTCCCCCTGTTCTGTAGTGAGTGAGTGGAGTTTTATTATCTCCCCCTGTTCTATAGTGAGTGAGTGAGTGGAGTTTGTATGATCTCCCCCTGTTCTATAGTGAGTGAGTGGAGTTTTATTATCTCCCCCTGTTCTATAGTGAGTGAGTGAGTGGAGTTTTATTATCTCCCCCTGTTCTGTAGTGAGTGGAGTTTTATTATCTCCCCCTGTTCTATAGTGAGTGAGTGAGTGGAGTTTTATTATCTCCCCCTGTTCTGTAGTGAGTGAGTGGAGTTTTATTATCTCCCCCTGTTCTATAGTGAGTGAGTGAGTGGAGTTTGTATGATCTCCCCCTGTTCTATAGTGAGTGAGTGGAGTTTTATTATCTCCCCCTGTTCTATAGTGAGTGAGTGAGTGGAGTTTGTATGATCTCCCCCTGTTCTATAGTGAGTGAGTGGAGTTTGTATGATCTCCCCCTGTTCTATAGTGAGTGAGTGGAGTTTTATTATCTCCCCCTGTTCTATAGTGAGTGAGTGAGTGGAGTTTTATTATCTCCCCCTGTTCTGTAGTGAGTGAGTGGAGTTTTATTATCTCCCCCTGTTCTATAGTGAGTGGAGTTTGTGTGATCTCCCCCTGTTCTATAGTGAGTGAGTGGAGTTTGTATGATCTCCCCCTGTTCTATAGTGAGTGAGTGGCGTTTTATTATTTCCCCCTGTTCTGTAGTGAGTGAGTGGAGTTTTATTATCTCCCCCTGTTCTATAGTGAGTGAGTGAGTGGAGTTTGTATGATCTCCCCCTGTTCTATAGTGAGTGATGGAGTTTGTATGATCTCCCCCTGTTCTGTAGTGAGTGATGGAGTTTGTATGATCTCCCCCTGTTCTACAGTGAGTGATGGAGTTTGTATGATCTCCCCCTGTTCTGTAGTGAGTGAGTGGCGTTTGTAGGATCCCCCCCTGTTCTATAGTGAGTGAGTGAGTGAGTGGAGTTTGTATGATCTCCCCCTGTTCTACAGTGAGTGATGGAGTTTGTATGATCTCCCCCTGTTCTGTAGTGAGTGAGTGGCGTTTGTAGGATCTCCCCCTGTTCTATAGTGAGTGAGTGAGTGGAGTTTGTATGATCTCCCCCTGTTCTGTATGGGTTTCCTCCGTGGTTCTCCAACGTCTTCCGAGTCTTGTTTTTTGTCGACTGGATGAATCCGATGAGCTTTAAAGCTCTTCCCACAGCTCACAACACGGCGCCCCACAACGCAGAGTGTAACCGGAATTGGACGTAACCATCATCCCTAATGTTATAATCTTTGGGTCTTTCGGTAAAGTCACGTAGATAGGTTCAATTAAAATGAATAAAAAATTACGACGTTTCGATCACAACACAAGCGGTCGTCATCCTCCTGATGACGATCGCTTGTGTTGTGATCGAAACGTTTTTTTTTCATTGAGCCTATCTCCGTGACTTTACCGAAAGACCGAAAGAATATGAATTCCTGCAGTCACGAAAGCTTTAAGTTAAGAATGATCCCCAATAGCTGAACAACAACAAGACCACCCGCCCCCCTGCAACTACAAATCATTCGATTTGCATCGCAGCAGCAGCAGCGTGGCCCCCTGCTGCAAGATGGACAAACTAAAACTCAACTTGGGGGCCGGACCCTCCTGCAAAGCAACCGCCAGACTCTCAAGTTTGTTTTTTTCGTCTTATAGAATTTCCTGGGTCATTCTAAAACAAATAATACTACAACTACTACTCATACAATTAATCATACAATCATAACCCGAGACCCCCTCCACCCCTCCTGCCCCTTGGATTCCGCCGGCACCCTCCTCCGTCTTGCCCGCAGACCCCTCGCCGGTCCCCGTCGACACGGGGGGCTATTTCGGGACCCACTCCTCGCCCCCTCTCGCCTTGTTTGGCCGTGCGGGGTCCGTGGTGTCACGCGCCCCCCCCCTCTCTCCCCTCCACACCCTCCTCTCCTCTTCCTCCTCCCCGCTGACCCCACCCCCTCCTCTTCTCCCCCCCCACCTCCTCCCCCCTCCTCCCCCTTCCTCCTCCCCCCTCCTCCCCGCCCTCCTCCCCTCTTCCCCTCCCCCTTCCTCCTCCCCCCTCCTCCCCGCCCTCCTCCCCTCTTCCCCTCCTCCTCCCCCTTCCTCCTCCCGCCTTCCTCCCCCCTCCTCCCCCCTTCTCCTCCCCCTCCTCCCACCTCCTCCCCTCTTCCCCTCCCCCTCCTCCACCCCCTCCTCCCCGCCCTCCTCCCCTCCCCCTCTTCCTCCCCTCCTCCCCCTTCTCCTCCCTTTCCCCTCCTCCTCCTGTTCTCCTCCTCCCCCTCCTCCCCCCTCCTCCTCCCTCCTCCTTCTCCTTCCCCCCCCTCCTACCTCCCCTGGCTGGACCGAGGCTCCTGGGCGAGACTAAAAAGGGGGATGGGGTGTGGGGTGTGGAGACGAAGGGGAGGGAGGAGTGGGTGATCAGGAGGGACGGGAGGCGGGAGGGGAGGGGGAAGGGAGGATGGATGGGGGAGGGGAGGAGGGAGGGGTAGATGGAGGGGAGTGGGAAGGGGGGATGGAGGGGAGGGGGAAGGGGGGATGGAGGGGAGGGGGAAGGGGGGATGGATGGGGGAGGGGAGGAGGGAGGGAGGGGTAGATGGAGGGGAGGGAGAAGGGGGGATGGATGGGGGAGGAGGGGTAGATGGAGGGGGGATGGAAGGGGGGGAGGGAGATGGAGGGGAGTGGGAAGGGGGGATGGAGGGGAGGGGGAAGGGGGGATGGAGGGGAGGGGGGATGGAGGGGAGGGGGAAGGGGGGATGGAGGGGAGGGGAAGGGGGGATGGAGGGGAGGGGGAAGGGGGGATGTATTTTGTGACGCGAGGTGGATTGGGGATGTCCACCGCCACTGTACAGGATGGTCCAAATATTTCGTGACCCACATTTAATTCTCTAAAACGTAATTGATATATATAATAAACTAGGGTTCATTAAAAACAAATTCACATGCAAAAGAGTGAAAAATATATATTAGGATTCATTTTATTGGGGTGGGGGGGCACAAGATATCTGGACCACTACTGTACAGTGCTCTGTGATGTGACGATGCGTCGCGTGATGTCACAGACTGACGCGCGGTGTGATGGGACGTGATGGGATGTGATGTGATGGGATGTGATGTGATGGGATGTGATGGGACGTGCAGTGTGATGGGGAGTGGATTGATGGTGAATGATGATGATGGTGGGTGAGTGATGTTGGAGATAACGATGGTGAATGATGGTAGACGCTGGTGGTGATGTTTGATGATGATGTTGATGGTGATGTGTTTCTTATCTCCCACCATCCCTTCTCCATCCTCTCCCCGGCACTTTCTCCCCCCCCCCCCCCCCCCCCCCAATTTCCCCTCCCTCTTCGTTTCAATCCGTCACTCTCTCGCTCCCGCGCCTCACCACCATCATCCACCTCCATCATCCACCTCTCTCCCTCGTGCCCTATCTCCCCCCTCCTCCTCCGTCTCACCCCCCCAACCTTCCTCCTCCTATCTCTCCTCTTGATTTCAATCCGTCTTTTTTTTTTGTACGATCAGAGGAAACAAGAAGATGCTCGGTGTAGTCGGCACTTTGCTTCGTTCATCATTTCGTTTTTTTCGTTTTTTTTCTTCTTCAATGCTTTACTTTATGTGCCCCCCCTCCCCTTTTAAATTAAAGATTTCACGAAAGATTTCACAATCCGTCTCACTCCCATCCTCTCTCCCCACCCGTCCCACATCTCTCGCTCTCGTCTTCCCACTTCATGCTGCTATCTCCCTCCCTACCTCGACATATCTCTCCTATCATAGCATCCCCATGTTCTCCTACTCTTTCTCCTCTCCATATCCTTCCCCTCTCTCTCCATCTCCCAGCTATCTCTCCCTCCTTCACCCTCTCTCTCTCCATCTCCTCCCCTCTCTCTCCATCTCTTCTCTCCCCATCTCCTCCCCTCTCTCCCATCTCCTCCCCTCTCTCCCCATCTCCTCCTCCCCTCTCTCCCCATCTCCTCCCCTCTCTCTCCATTTCCTCCCCCCTCTCTCCCCATCTCCTCCCCTCTCTCCCATCTCCTCCCCTCTCTCTCCATCTCCCCCTCCCCTCTCTCTCCATCTCCCCCCCCCCCTCTCTCTCCATCTCCTCCCCTCTCTCCCCATCTCCTCCTCCCCTCTCTCCCCATCTCCTCCCCTCTCTCTCCATCTCCTCCCCTCTCTCTCCATCTCCTCCTCCCCTCTCTCCCCATCTCCTCCCCCCCTCTCTCCCATCTCCTCCCCCCCTCTCTCCCCATCTCCTCCCCTCTCTCTCCATCTGCTCCCCCCCTCTCTCTCCATCTCCTCCCCTCTCTCCCCATCTCCTCCTCTCTCTCCCCATCTCCTCCCCTCTCTCCCCATCTCCTCCCCTCTCTCTCCATCTCCTCCCCTCTCTCCCCATCTCCTCCCCTCTCTCTCCATCTCCTCCCCCCCTCTCTCTCCATCTCCCCTCTCTCCCCATCTCCCCCCCTCTCTCTCCATCTCTTCCCCTCTCTCCCCATCTCCTCCCCTCTCTCTCCATCTCCTCCCCTCTCTCCCCATCTCCTCCCCTCTCTCTCCATCTCCTCCCCTATCTCTCCCTCCCTCACCCTGTCTCCCTCCTCTCTCTCTCCACCCCCTCTCTCTCCATCTCCTCCCCTCTCTCCCCATCTCCTCCCCCCCCTCTCTCTCCATCTCCCCTCTCTCCCCATCTCCTCCCCTCTCTCTCCATCTCCTCCCCTATCCCTCCCTCCCTCACCCTGTCTCCCTCCTCTCTCTCTCCACCCCCTCTCTCTCCATCTCCTCCCCCTCTCTCTCCCCGCTGCGTCCCCCCCTCTCTCGCTCTCTCTCTCTGCAGTCACCGCCTGTGTTTGGACGGCATAGTCCCCCGTGTTTGTGCTGAATGCTCCGTCACGTGGAAGGATTACGGCGTTAACATCATCATCAACATCATCATCATCAACATCATCATTAATTATTGTTACTCTGGGTGGTAGTGGTGGTGGTATAACCGGAGCAAGTAATTAAGTACATGGGCTATTAAGCCACAGCACGGATTGCTAACGTTACGACTGTCTTTGTTGTTATTGAATGGGTTTATTTATTCAATATATTTTTTATTTGGGTAAATTGCCGCTTTTATTTTTGCATTAATACCCACGCTGTGCCTCACCAACCATCTACTCACCTGTCAACAGCTACGCCGCCGTCACCAGCGCAACCACAACAGAGAATTTACCGAAGGAAAACCACGCGTGGTCACTTCATCAATAGTCCACACTACAACTATCCACCACCATCATCATCATCATCCACCTTGTTAATCATCATCAGCACACCGGCACCACAGCTACACCCGCAACCACCATCAGCACTGCAACCACCATCAGCACTGCAACCACATCGTACTGACATTCAAACCGCCAGCATCAGCATCAACCATCAAACACCACAATCCACCCACTCACTGCATCACACCATCGACCACCACTCGTCAACCACTCTACATCACACCACCACTCTACATAACACCAACCACCCATCCACTCTACACCACCAGCCACAAACACGTCACCATCACCACCACTATTCCACTCTACATTACACCTCCACTATTCATCCCACTGCATAACACCACTCACCCACTCTTCATAACACCACCACCAACCACTCTACATCACACCACCACTCATCCACTCTACAGAACACCACCACCACCCACTCTACAGAACACCACCACCACCCACTCTTCATAACACCACCACCAACCACTCTACAAAACACCACCACCACCACCCACTCTACAGAACACCACCACTCATCCACTCTACAGAAAACCACCAGCCACCACTTATCCACAACACGACCCAGCCAGCCACCCACCATCCTCCACCACCACAACCCACCACCACCACCACCACCCACCACCACCACGAGGCCTCCTCCCCCACCACGCCACGCCGCATGTATGACCGGCGGACGCTTTGACTTCGACGATGGCGGCGCGTTCTGCGGCGGCTGGGAGCAGGGCAAGGCGCACGGCCACGGTGTGTGCACGGGCCCCCAGGGCCAGGGCGAATTCGCCGGCTCGTGGAGCCACGGCTTCGAGGTGGCTGGCGTCTACACGTGGCCCAGCGGCAACACCTACCGAGGCCATTGGGCGCAGGGCAAGCGGCACGGCCTCGGCGTGGAGGAGAAGGGCAGCCGCTGGGTGTACTCGGGCGAGTGGACGTACGGGTGCAAGGGCCGCTACGGGACGAGGCGGGCCAGGGCGGGCGGCGCCAGCTACGAGGGCACCTGGGGGAACGGTGCGCAGGACGGGTACGGTGTGGAGACCTACTCGGATGGAGGTGAGGTTGGTGGTGGTGAAATAGTGGTGGTGGTGAGATAGTGGTGGTGGAGCCCTACTCGGATGGAGGTGAGGTTGGTGCTGAAATAGTGGTGGTGGTGAGATAGTAGTGGTGGTGTGTGGTAGTGGTGAGCTAGTGGTGGTGGTGGAGCCCTACTCGGATGGAGGTGAGATTGGTGGTGGTGGGTGCTGGTGGTGGATACCTACTCGGATGGAGGTGAGGATGGTGGTGGTGGTGAGATAGTAGTGGTGGTGAGATAGTGGTGGTGGTGGTGGTAGTGGAGACCTACTCGGATGGAGGTGAGATTGGTGGTGGTGGAGACCTACTCGGATGGAGGTGAGATTGGTGGTGGTGGTGAGATGGTAGTGGTGGTGGGTGGTGGTGGTGGTGAGGTAGTGGTGGTGGAGACCTACTGGGATGGAGGTGAGATTGGTGGTGGTGGTGAGATAGTAGTGGTGGTGGGTGGTGGTGGTGGGATAATGGTGGTGGTGAGATAATGGTGGTGGTGGAGACCTACTCGGATGGAGGTGAGATTGGTGGTGGTGGTGGTGGTGAGATAGTAGTGGTGGTGGGTGGTGGCGATGAGATAGTAGTGGTGGTGGAGACCTACTAGGATGGAGGTGAGATTGGTGGTGGTGAGATAGTAGTGGTGGTGGGTGGTGGTGATGAGATGTTGGTGGTGGTGGATACTTACTCAGATGGAGGGAAGATTGGTGGTGGTGGGTGGTGGTGGTGATGAGATAGTTGTGGTGGTGGAAACCTACTCGGATGGAGGTGAGGTTGGTGGTGGTGGTGAAATAGTGGTGGTGGTGAGATAGTGGTGGTGGTGGTGGAGACCTATTCGGATGGAGGTGAGGTTGGTGGTGAAATAGTGGTGGTGGTGAGATAGTAGTGGTGGTGTGTGGTGGTGGTGAGATAGTGGTGGTGGTGGAGCCCTACTTGGATGGAGGTGAGATTGGTGGTGGTGGGTGGTGGTGGTGGAGACCTACTCGGATGGAGGTGAGATTGGTGGTGGTGGTGAGACAGTAGTGGTGGTGGTGGTGAGATTGTGGTGGTGGAGACCTACTGGGATGGAGGTGAGATTGGTGGTGGTGGTGAGATAGTAGTGGTGGTGGGTGGTGGTGGTGGTGGTGGTGGTGAGATAATGGTGGTGGTGGAGACCTACTCGGATGGAGGAGAGATTGGTGGTGGTGAGATAGTAGTGGTGGTGGGTGGTGGTGGTGGAGATATAGTAGTGGTGGTGGGCGGTGGTGGTGGTGAGATAGTAGTGGTGGTGGAAACCTACTGGGATGGAGGTGAGATTGGTGGTGGTGAGATAGTAGTGGTGGTGGGTGGTGGTGATGAGATGTTGGTGGTGGTGGATACTTACTCAGATGGAGGGGAGATTGGTGGTGGTGCGTGGTGGTGGTGAGATAGTGGTGGTGGTGGAGACCTACTCGGATGGAGGTGAGGTTGGTGGTGGTGAGATAGTAGTGGTGGTGGTGAGATAGTGGTGGTTGGTTGTGGTGATGGAGACCTCGGATGGAGGTTGAGAATAGTAGGTGGTGAGCAGTGATTGTGGTGGTGGGAGGCCTACACGAATGGGGATGAGATGATGGTCGTGGTGGTAGAGGTATATACAGCTGTTTGGTGGAGGGTTGTGATGGTGGGGCGAAGACTTGTCCTGATGGAGGCGAGGTGATTGATGGTGGTGGTGTGGTTTGCTGGTTTGGGGAGCGCTGCGCTACGAACCCGGTGACCTGAGTTCGATTCCCTCTCACGGCCAAAAACACCGGTGACGATTATTTGATCTGGTCCTGGGCCTCCTCCTCTAGACTAACTCGGATTCAAATGAGCACGTGGTGCAGTGCGTGAACTTCGCCACGAGGGAGACAAAGGCGGCTGAGCGTGGTGCTGGCCACCCACACCCTCGTGTGCCGTACCGGCCTTCATAGGTGCTCTCTAACAGCACTTGCTCCAACAGTCTGTTAAGGCTGTAAATGGGGAGGGGGGGTTATCTTTGGTGGTGGTGGTAATTTTTTTAATGGTGGCGGTGAAATATTGTGGTCGTGTTTGGATGGTTGTGGATTGTGATGGTTGGTGATGAATGGCCTGTTCAGATCACGACGAGCGGGTTAGAGATGTATTTGCGAGCGGTGGTGGTGATGAAGGGAGACCAGAGTGGAGCTCCGATGGTGTTTAGACGTCGGTGTTGCGATCATCGTGTTCGGGAGGAGATGAGGTGTTTAGTCTGTGCGTGGAACTACGTATCCAACCGCGTTAATCGGAGGCGAGGGTGTAGGACGAGTGATGTGTGTGTGTGCGTGGGGGTGTTTGTGAAACTGTGATAATGGTTTGGGGAATATCCCCTTTCAAATTGGTTGGTTGGCAGTGCTTGATTGTTGGCATGCGATGACGACGGCGGCTTTTCCTGGATAAGCAGATACATCCGGCAAGGTGTTTGTAGAATTCTCGCCGAGACTCAAGACTCTCCGAGGGTGCTGCTAAGTGTTGGGGGGGGGGGGGTTGGAAAATGTTCACCAATTCCAACCCGAAACGAAAGTTTGGCTCCAGTTTAATTTTAAAGAAATTAATTTTAGAAATCGCGTGGGCCCTCATTATTGACTGAATGGGCACCCTGGTTTTGTTTCGCGATGTGTGAGTGTGTGTGTGAATGTGTGTGTGAGTGTGTGTGAATGTGTGTGAGTGTGTGAATGTGTGTGTGAGTGTGTGTGCATGTGTGTGTGTGTGAATGTGTGTGTGTGAGTGTGTGTGAATGTGTGTGTGTGAATGTGTGTGTGTGAGTGTGTGAATGTGTGTGTGGGGGTTGTTTGTCGGGAGCGGTGGTGTAGCGGTTAGCGCTACGCTGCGCTATGAACCTGGCCGACCAGGGTTCGATTCCCGCTCACGACCATCTGAACCGGTCCTGGGCCTCCCCTAGATCGACTCAGCCTGAAACGAGTACCTGGTGCGGTGCGTAATAAACATCGCCACCGGTGAGACAAAGGCGGTCGGGGCGTGATGCTGCCCGCCCACCCCCTCGTGTGCCGTGCCGGCCTTCATAGGTGCTGCTCGCTAACAGCACTTGCCCCCTTACAGTCTGTTACAGGCTACACGGGGGATCTTTGTCTTTGTTGTTTGTGGGCCGCTACGATCGCCACTGGCGATGGTGCTGGGGAAACCCATCTGCTCAGATTCGAGGTGACGACGGTCGACGATGGAACGGAGCGTCGCGCCCGGCGCCGATGAAAGACGATTTTTTATTTTTTTTATTTTTTTTGCGTGTGTCCCGTTACGTCCGAGACGGTCACGATCGTTTCTTTTTTGTTTACGAACGATTTGAACCCCTTCCTCGTGCCGCCACCGCCGTGCACACAAACAACAACAGCAGCAGCAGCAACACGCTCCACGTGTCAATAACAACAACACTGCGGTCTGAACAAGACACAAATGAGCATGCGGCAGGTGACGTTTCGGGCGACGGTCCTTCAGGGCGCGTAAATCGCTCGAGGTAGCCCGAAAGAGCCTCGCTCACCACTCTGGCCTCCCTGTGTGTGCTGTGAAGGAGGGTGTTTGCTCGAAACGTCGGCGGTGATGTAGAGTACTCGTTTTTGCATTATTAATGCTCCAAAAATACCACAGACAAACATCGCCCCCGTGTAGCCTTAACAGACTGTAGGGGCAAGTGCTATGAGCGAGCAGCACCCACTAAGGCCAGATCGGCACACGAGGAGGTGGGTGGCCAGCACCACGCCCGGCCGCCTTTGTCTCCCCTAGTGGCGATGTTTACTACACACCGTACCAGCTACTCATTTGAAGCTGAGTCGACCTAGGGGAGGGACGGAGGGGGGAGCCCGTGACCGGTGCAGATAATCGCCGCCGGCGTTGGCCTGCGAACGGGAAATCGAACTCGGGTCGTGGCCGGGTTCGTGAAAATCGCGCAGCGCGCTAACCGCTGCGCCACCGCTCCATCTCCGCAACACGATGACCACAATGCCCGCAACACGGGTAGTGCACGCGAGACGGACAGTACAGTCGCGGCAGAACAACAGCAACAACAACAGCAACACAAATACAATAACATCCCTTGAGTGGAATCGTTGACCCCCCCCCACCACCCCCGGAATCGTGGCCGTGCGTGGACGAATCGGACGATTCGTTGGTGGGTGTCTCATCATGATCGTCATCGGGCCTGGTCTATCCACTGCTGGATGGAGGCCTCCGCCCCCCCCCCCACCCACAATCCTGCCCCTGCGGTGTTGGGGAGGGTCCGCGGATTTCTAACCCCCCCCCACAATCCTGCCCCTGCGGTGTTGGGGTGCTTCCGCGGATTTATAACCCACCCCACCCCTTCCACAATCCTGCCCTTGCGGTGTTGGGGAGCTTCCGCGGATTTCTACCCCCCCCCCCACAATCCTGCCCCTGCGGTGTTGGGGAGCTTCCGCGGATTTCTAAATCCCCCCCACCCCTCCCACAATCCTGCCCTTGCGGTGTTGGGGAGCTTCCGCGGATTTCTAAACTCCCCCCACCCCTCCCACAATCCTGCCCTTGCGGTGTTGGGGAGCTTCCGCGGATTTCTAACCCCCCCCCCCCCACAATCCTGCCTCTGCGGTGTTGGGGGAGCTTCCGCGGATTTCTAAACTCCCCCCACCCCTCCCACAATCCTGCCCTTGCGGTGTTGGGGAGCTTCTGCGGATTTCTAACCCCCCCCCCCCCGCGCGCGCGCGCTCTTGGCGTTTCGGAGGAACGGAGAGACGGTGGGGTTACGGGGAGAGAGGGAGGAGGAGAGAGGGGGAGGGAGAGAGGAAGGAGAGAGGGAGAAAGGGAGAGACATGAGGAAGGAGAGAGGGAGGAGGAGGAGAGACATGAGGAAGGAGAGAGGGAGGAGGAGGAGAGACATGAGGAAGGAGAGAGGGAGGAGAGAGTGAGGAGGAGGAGAGACATGAGGAAGGAGAGAGGGGGGAGAGTGAACGGGAGGAGAGATGAGAGGAGAGGGAGGAGACATGAGGAGGGAGAGAGGC